AATAGCTTTACGCTCCATCACATGCACACACAACATTAATTGCAGAGTTACCAACTTGGCCACTTTTATTTACATTTAGCGACTTTTCAGACCCTCTTAACAACGTTATTTCTACAAAGCGGACAACTTATCAGTGCCGGGGTCTCTCCCTCTCCTCTTGTACAGGCAGCCTGTAGGTGAGGCGTGTGGGTCACATTAATGCTTCTCTCTCACTCTTTCATTCCAGATCGCTGGATTATGGTGTTCCTATAGCTATATGTAAATAGTTCATTTGATCTTGTAAATATTTAAATAGCCTAGTCCATTTGATCTTCTCTCTCCCTGTGTAGATGTTTTTTTTTTTCTTTTTTACTTCAAACATACAACGTCCCTGTAGTGAGTTTGAGATTATTCGGTTGAAATAATAATGTTAAAAGTGCGTGCATTTGCACTGCACTTTGCAGTGATGCATTTATTGATCAAACCGTTTGAAATGAACAAGAAACAGTAACTTAGCCAATGAATAAAAGAATAATAACTACTGACACCTGGGGTCAATTTTTGTGCAGAGAACAACTTGCATAACTTCCATAGCGGACCAGAGCAATGAGGTGATGCACGTTACTGAAACAAAGTTATTAAAACTATATTTATAATGCAGAATGAAAAAAAGAACTTACATTTGGGGCTGTGGTTTTTAAATCTGGGACAGATGAAAGGCGAATTCGGGACAGTTGGAAAAAGTTTATTTCAAGTCCTGGCTACATTCCCTTAGACTTTGCTGTTTGATGTTACATCTTTATCAGCTAATAGTAAATAGTAAAGCAGCCGGTAGTGGAGACGCTTATGCGAGAGCATGCAGGTGGCACTTATTTACAGGTGCACTTGTCTACAGGTGGCCAAGAAAACAGCACTGCACATTTTTTACAGGGCAGACACACACCTTTTGTTAGGCCTCAAAGATGCACACAATGCTTTTTTGGTGAGCACCACTGAGTCCAAACAGAAACTTTGTTTGTTGGAGTTTGTTGATAACCACAAGAACTCCACAGGGTACCTTCCACTGCATATTTTTACAGCTTTTAGATGTTGGCAGAGACAATATATATACCATTTTATTTCCATTTGTATTCAGACAGAGTGTGTTTTTATTTGTCTGTATTATTTATGATGCTGTTGGTACACGTCTTATTCTGTTTTACGTGCGTTGCAGCACAGTGCCGTCGAATCAGGTCAGCATAAGAGGCACATGCCATTTTGAGTGGCGAATTTAGATGGCAACCGTGCCCAACTGGCTTAAACCGGCACTGTGCCAGTCGGGATCTGTAGCCCACTCGATGATCAGTGTAATAAGTCTATCTTTTTATGCCCTGACAGGTACAAGAAAACTAATATGAGTCTCGGAGAGATGCCAGTCAAGTGTAATCTGTACATGCCCACACACTCACAGGACGTCTAATTAGGCAAAATAACAGGAAACACAACTATGTGGGAATTCCACAGGTATACAAGGCCCTTAAGACAAATGTTTGGCACCCAAATCTTGGCTGCTCCTCTTTTAGTGGTCTGTGGCCTGCTCAATAGTTGGATGACTACAATAAGTGAATGCCTTCCTTCCAGATGAATCGTAATGCGCAATCAATCTTCACTACACATCTGGCATTTTAGTAACCGAATAAAAAGGACAATTCATTTCTTGAAAGTATGACCGCAATTTTGACATCCAACTTACAAGGTGTGGTTTGACAGCTACTATTTAACTTATTATTAGAGCAAACACCAACGTAATCTCTTTGTTTACACCCTGTGCCTAAGGCTGTGGCCTTTCGGGAATGTCATCACTGATGTTAGGATTTTTAACTACTGCGACGCCGGGCAGGATTCAATGGCAAACAAAGCACGAGAGATTATAAATATATGAGAAATAAAAACGTTCGACCTTCAGACACAGGCTTAGATTTGACTAAATTAAAGCAACATATCGGATGGCAATATCGTATACAACATTTACACACACACACACAAAAACACGAGTTATCCTTTAGGCCCAGATGAACTAACTTGGTTATCTTTTTTTAACTGAAAACAGCAGTTTTTTCCCCCTCTTCTAACAATAAACAAAGGGCTGTGTTTATAAGGGTAATTAAGTTATATTGTGCCAACAGTTCAGTGGGTTTATAATAGGTTAATATAGCCACATAAATTGGTCATTCTAATTCACAAATATCCAGAGTACCGGTTAAGTTAATAGAGAGTTAATGAGCTGTTAATAGGTTAATAAAAGGTAATTGGACATTATGATACGGACAAATACTACAATAGCTGCTTAAAAATAAGGATGCATTTCAACTGTAACTTTACACTGCCATATTCTGAATAGAGTTGGCCTGACACTATATGCATACAAGAGATATCATGGCACATTCAGAGCTGGGAGATGTGGTGGGAGCTCCTTGTGCTGGGAAAAATGCTGGCAGGAGCAACTACTATTAACTTCACATCACATGAGAGAGGAGACATATTACTTTGAAAAGCTGGACCCAGGAGAAAAACGCTTGAAAACCACAGGATGTGAGACCAGGGTGCAATAAATAAAGGATACATCTCTTATCCTTGCCTTGTGAATGCAATCCTTTCAGATAGCAAAGTTGTTTTTTTTTTTGTTTATTCCAGGAACTTTGTTTCTTATACACAACCACACAGCTGGGAGCAAAATCAGGAAGAAAACAGCACTCAATCAGTGTGTGTGTGTGTGTGTGTGTGTGTCTTCAAAATAAATCCCCAAGCAAACACTTCCACTTTTACGTTATCCCATTTGTTGTTGTGTTATCTCGATTATCTTGTTGCCTCTTTAATACCACATTGGAATAAAACAGCAAACAGCACAATTATGTGAGCTATTGTTTTTAAGTTTACTGCGCATTAACACAGCAGAGGAAGGTCGCAATTAACTCAGCAAAAAGAGAGGGGCTTGTTAGTTTAAAACCTTTTTATATTCTGGTTTTTTTTTTATCTGAAGTTCAAAACGTCGGGTTGTCCTTTCTCATTTACACTCGCTACTTTAGCTAGCTGGCTTTGTTGTTACTAGCTCGGTAACCTTATCAGTGATAGCAATATGTTATGTTATGTGTGTGTGTGTGTGTGTGGAACAAGACGCTGTATCTTAATATTAAATATTAAATAAAGACTAACAACCCTCTGGGCTCATTTTCACTGCTCACTAACACTATCCTGTCTTCGCTGGCTCATTAGCTAACGGCGTTATAAACGTTGAGCTAGCTAACTAGCTAGCTTAAAACTGCGTTAGCCCCTCTCTTGCTAGCTAGCGTTAGCACTTTCCTTTCATCTCTCTCTCTCTCTCTCTCTCTCTCTCTCCCTCTCTCTCCCCCCTCTCTCTCTCCCCCAGTCCAGAAATTAGGTTATAATCTGTAAATTTCTGAACGCACGGTCACGAAAAAAAAAGCATCACGCTGTGCGAAAAACACACCATGTAAAAGTGTTTGGGTTTAATGTAAAAATCTCACCTTAATGAGCGATTAAATAGCCTTGTTGCTGCTGTCAATCCCGGAATAGGTTTATTCCCCCGTTTTAATCCATCAGAAACGCTCACAATTCCCATCCACAATGTAGCTGAACCGTCTGCTAAAACATCGTAATCCGGAACACCACAATCCCGACTCCGATCGCACGTTTTACAGTCTATTATTTGTGTATTTATCCCTAAGTTTTATTTCTCTTTTTTTTCCCCCCTTAACAGAGCAGGGTGTCCCTTTCCCCTTTCTTTGTTCTGTAATCCAGTAAAATTGAAACTCATTCGCCTCCTGCTAATCCCAGCCCAACTCAACAACAGCATCTATTGGCTGCAATTTACATACAGGATTAGCGGAGGAACCTCTTGGAAAAAAAAAAAAACCCTCAGGGAGCACAAATTTACATGGATAGGAAATATTCCTGGCACGATTTCTTATTATATTAGAGATGTGACTGTTTAAAATCACTGTGTGCCACTTTGGCTGCAACTTCACACTGTCAGCTGTGCTTTGAATAAACCCCCCCTCCTCCTCCTCCTCCTCCTCCTATAGACTGCATGAAGGTGGTTTGGTGTTATAGTTCAGTAGCCAAATTATTTTTAGGATTTTGTCCAAAGTGGATGTATAAGCAGCTATACACGGGTCTTCTGGCCACAACAGTTTTGCCATAGCTCTTGTGATTGCCTAAAAATAGCCTGGCTGTTTAATACAGGGCAAAGTTCATATGATAGGAAAAGGAAGAAATAGTTATCCTATAATAAATGTAACCCTACTTATCGAATGTATACTCCACTAAATCACTGTAATCTGGTTAGTTTCATTTATTTTGCTCCTTCTAACCCCCCCAGACCACGATATATTATATATTAAGTTAAACTATGTTTCACCCAGAGCAAAAAAATATATTTGTTCCTGTGCTTCATGCTGAACTTGTTGCTCACTTCTGCAAATAAGTAATCACTTATTTATTCAAATGTCACCGGCATAACCAATCTGCCCTCGGGCAAATAACTGGGACGTGTGGATAAGACCTGACATTTGCCAAGACCAGCAAGTAAAAGTGATATATCTGGAGGTTTGAAATTACAAAGATTGTAAATAAACATGCAATTTCTGGATGTTTCATCTTCACCATCGAGGAACTTGGCCCCCTTTTTCCACATGAAGGAATTATTGCCTCCTCTTCTGGTTGACATCTACCAAATATTTGCCTGAGACAAGTTTATGATTTACAGCAGGGTTTATTTTATCTTGTGTGTGTGTGTGTGTGTGTGTGTGTGTGTGTATGAGAGAGAGTCTGGCTGAGAAATATATAAATGGTTATGGTTGCTGGCAGAAATTCCCAAACCACCTAACCTCTTAGTGGCATGAAATCTGACACCACTTTGAATCAACTCTGTCGAAACATACCTATCTTCTGTGCTTTGCCCTCAAAAACAAACAGACAGAAGTGACATGAGAGTGTGAAATAAAACACCACCAGCCCTTGCCCACATTGTTAATATTTAATGACTCAATCTCCAAAACCATTGCAGCAATAATCCATAGGGTATGAACCCTCCAGCTGAAAAAGGCCATGTACAATATCCAATGGAAAATTTAGTTTTTTTTTTTTTTTTTATCTTAGCTGACCAGCGCCTGCCCTACATGTTTTGCTCAGGAGACACAACTCCAAGCTTTCCACACCACTCACCTCTGCGTAATGTCCCCTGTAATGCAACGACGGCAAACTATGGCCAGCTCCAAACAGGATCTCATAGTTTAGTTGACAAATGGATAAAACAATATTTGGAAGACTTACAGTATAAATCCTATGTTGATGCCATTTTTTTTTTTTTTTTTTTTTTGCAAATTAAATCCAGATGTTGTCAGGATGAGTGTAACACCTTACACCCATTGTTTGGGTTTTAGCTCCAGTGACAGCCCTTCAGTACTTAACAAAAGGTCATTAAAGTAATCAGGGACACATTGATACAGCATTAAACAAGGCTGCTATGATGTACCGTATATAATTAATTAATACTAGCGTATGGATGGAGTCTGTACTGATACATAGTCCACAGTAAACAAAATAGCTGATCATTACCGACAGAGTAAGAAGTGTATTGGTACAGGTTCAGACAGAGTTTAAGAGAACGCAAAAGTCTGGAATAATTCACTACATAACATAACTCAGAGCCTCCCAGGTTCATTAATATTAATCTCGAGTCCTAGCGGGGAGTCCACTGTTGTGCAATTGCTAAAAAGGACTGCTTTCTTTGAGGAAATTGGCCCAACAGCCACCTTATCAAACACCTGAAGAGAGGATTAGTGGTTGAAATGATCTTTGTCAGTTCTGTAACAGATCCCCTGGAGGATGATTTGGAATAGTTTATGGTAAACAGTTGTTATGTTGTTGTTATGTCAGTTGTTATGTCACTGGCACAGTTCAAATCAATGGTCTAACCACAGTTTTGAATGGGATCCCATGACGGAATACCACATATTCAAAAAAATTAAATGTAATGTTTTCTCTGATAAGTGGCCATTATATAAGCGTGATATTACACTCACAGGATGCCAGAGAGAATAAAAGCCTGCTTTGGGTTGTGCCTCCACCCTTTCCATCTTTTTTTATTATATCAAGACGCCTCGTTGTGCTTGATTGCTTACTTAAAGATGCAAATCTAAATCTCAAGTTGTTTTTCAGGGAGTATCAGGGAGTCCAAGAGTACTGTTACTTGATGATGGTCAGACAGTGAAGGGTTTAAAACGCTTTTTGTAACTGATTTTTATAAATGATAAAGACCAAAACAAACACATTCCGACTGCTTTAAGATCTGTCTTTTTTTCAGTATCAAAAGGGGCTGTATGTGAGAATTGAGACAGTGTTTTTGCTGTATCTTGATGAAAGAAACAGTGTTTGGAACAGACTCAGCACATGGCTGGAGAGTGGAGAAGTGGATTATGTTGTGGGAGGTGGTTTTAGACATTTCTGTGGACGGTTTAAAACATTTTCCAAACATGAAACTGACCACTGGAATCCATTATAACAAATGGATTCAGTCTAATCACAACCAAGGACGTTGAAATGAAAACTTTATTCAGCTACTTAGCTCTGAGTGTGTATTTTATATTGAAAAGACAGATTTTGGGGTGAATTATTACTTTAAAGGCCCCTTTTTAATACTTCCAATAACTTTTATTGTACACTAAAGCACCGGACAGAGTTTGCTAGTAATTCTCTCATCAGGTATTTAATAAAGTGACAAATGAGCCAAACTCCCTAAAAAATAAGCCACTGTCATCCTTGAAGAGTTGCTCTGAGTATCACTGGCCAGGACAGCTCACCCGTAGAGCATCATTACAAAGCTGAGGAGCAAAGTAAAAGTAATAAATAAAAATAAACAAAGCGATTGAGACCCGGTTCTTCATTTCTTCACATCGTTGTCCATCAGCCGTTTTTTTGCCTTCCGGATCAAAATTCAGAATTGTCACAGAGTTCCCGGCAACTTGTAGCTTCAAATTTTTCTAACTACTGTAAAGCAATCGAAAAGTTGCCATTCTGTATGTTCTTGGGAGTTGTACCGATAATATCTCTTCATGTCCATGTCCCATTTCCTGTTTATATTTTATAGTACTTTAAGCGGTCTTCATGATTGGCTAATAGGTGCTTTCTGCAACAAACACATAAATTCCCTCAAGAGAGAGAGAGAGAGAGAGAGAGAGAGAGAGAGAGAGATTCGCTGTTTTGGTTTTAACTGTAAACTGAAAGGTTCTTCAGACATCCATCTCAGGATCAGGAGAAACGTCGGACGAGCTTTTCTTTTAAGATGTACGTCTGCACGTCCCAGTTCAGTCTTATCTCTTCTGCTCATATCAGTGTTGGTCCTGAAAAAGCCAAAAACAAGATGTCTTAGCACTGAGAGGCGTCAGTGTTATCGCCGCATCTCTGACGCTTTAAAATAAAATGAAAGAATACCAACATCTCGAGGACTGTCTGACTCCTGATGATGAATTCCATTGGCTGAATTCGCACCATGTGCCTGAAAAACATTGTGACACATTATGAGTGAAAGGACTATTTTGACATTTTGAGAAATACACTTATTCGCTTTCCTCCTGAGAGTTACTCTTGCTGGATACTAGGATGGTGGATGTTGTGGAATTTCTTTATCTAACTCTAAAAAAATGTAGAAATACTCTTTTAAAATGGTCTCTGATCTACAGGACACATCAAAAAATTAATTTATCTCTGCATAAAACACACATTTCAAGCCTTTTAACTGACATTAAAACCTGATATGGACACTTCTTCACAAGCTGCCTGACACAAAAACACAAAAAAGATTTTTAAAGTTTTACCGGGCTTTTATCTGGATGCCTGCGCATGGCCTGGACCAGCTGGTCGACTTGCTGGTTGTGTTCCAAGGCGTTCCTCAGGGCGTCCTCGGTGCTCAACAGCCGCTGGCGGAGGCGGGTCATCTCTGAGTCCAGGGCCGAGGGGTCCAGCATGGAGTACCGCCGGTGGTCAGGTGAAGACCGTTCCCGACCCTAAAATAAAACACAAGGCGGGAAGATAATAGTCAGTGCCTGCTGTTAAATCATTCATATCATGCTACAGTATATTTGATTTACATACATTATTCAAACATAAAGAACACATTTTCATATGTAAATATACTAAATTTACTCTCAGAGATAACCTCAATTGGCACGGATTATACAGTAAATATATAAACCAACAGCTTCCTTCACAGTCTGTATGTAATCAGTCTAACTAGCTCGTATATTACTTTGGTACAGATTATGGTGTATCTCTACGTGGACAAGACCCCAATACCAGCTATAAAAACCCGAATAGGGTTGCAGTAAAAATCTCAAAACCCATTTTACACATCAATATCAGTGTATCCATCATGGTTTCAGCCTGTGACAACAGTTGTATAATGTCTTCTGTGGCTCTGGAGGAGCTTCGTCAAGCTGAGAAAATAACCCTGGTGACGTCATCAGCCTGGTGACGTCATCAGCCTGGCGACGTCATCAGGGTTATGTCGGCTGAGATTTGGAGACTACAAAACTTTAACAAGCAGGCTGCGTTGCACATTATAGGTGTGGAGTTTGAAAGACATGGGTGCATATCCTGGCCATAGAATAGCTGGTACTACTATTTATATATATATATTAGTTCACAATGGTAAATCCTGTTCCCAGAGGTCAAAGGAAAACGCATTTTTGGACATTATTATTACAATATTATTAATGTTCTTGCCGATAGTTCAATGACCAGCTTTAGCTAACTTCCTACTTAAACCGAGGGGTCAGAGAGAGTTGTGTCCAGTAATATTTACATTTTCTTCCCCCCCCACCCCCAACCAATGGAGCGACGCCAGCAAGCTATTTCAGATCCTCGACACCACCCCAGCATTCCCCTTCCAAATTTGGCTCTTTAACTACCCGCCGCCCTGCCTCAGTATTGCTGCCGGCTCTTTCAGTCCTGACACCACCCCAGCATTCCCCTTCCAGGCTCCGGCGAGGGTATATTAGGGGATATTTGCTCACCACTTCCCAATATCTCTTTGTAAACATATCTGCAGGGAGTCATGGAGCCTAGACGCCCGTCTGTCCTTCTGCTGTAATAAGCATTTGTCTGTCTGTCAGTTATCTGTTTGAAATATGATTTGTTGACTACAATCTCCCCTTGGTAAGCCCATTTGTTGGGGAGACGTGAATAATGCATTATGCTTGCTGGGGAACAGCATTTCTAGAAAGAGTAAATGTCTCAAAAACTGATAATGACTGATGACTGTCGGGGGTTGAGTGACCCCAGAAGCAGTGTTAACTTAGCATCACAAAGTCCTTCCTTCTCACCAGTAGAAGTAATTTTTCACGCAAGGTCTTGATGTCATCCTGAAGTTTCTGCTCCTTGACCTTCCACTCAGCCTTGTGCACTTCTCGGTTCAGGTCTTTCTCCATGTCCCTCGAATGGCGATGCGATTCCAGGAGTAACACCCTCAGTTCATTCAGACTCCTGGAATAGAAAAAAGAACAACATATAGGAATAAGAAACAAAGGAACCTTGAGTGATTGGTAAAAACTGAAAAATAGAACCAGTTTTGTTGGTGTTTTTCTGGCCTGCAGTGCTGCGATGACTTGCTGTGAACTTTACGGCTCCGAATTGCAATAATGAGAGAGAAGCAGTGCAATTTTACCGTCAAGGATTCTAGGAGTGGTACATCTGCTTAGACCTTGCACAAAGGTCATTATCATTTAAACACTTACCAGCCCATTATGTGAAAAATATTTTAGCCAGTTTGGCCAGTGGGATTGTGGAGGCGGACTCATCTCTGTACATATCAAACTGGCTGGTGGATGGATGCCCCCTTCCAATAAATAGTCAAACTCTCTGATGAACTAGTACTTGGCTGTCTTCCTGCATGCTAATGTCAGTGAACCAAATACACACACACACACACACACACACACACACACACACACACACACACACACACACACACAGGACACTGCATATTAACCACAGGGGCTGGCTAGTTTAACATCTGCCCTGATTTAAAGTGCTATATATTCATTTGTGCACCTCATAACAGAAAAAAACATTTCCTATTACCAATCAGTCCCTCTGGGCAGTTTTTTCTCTTTTTACATATTTTTAAGCTAATGTTTTTCAATGCATCAAATGTGTAATGGGACTTAGGATGTGTAAATGGCCAACTGTTTTTGCTTTGTCAAGTTTATAAAGTGATAAAATGTCAATGTTGTGTTCACAGCTTTGGTCTGCTGGTGGACAAACAAATCGATTAATGCAGATTTAAGGAAAAGTGAAAAGGTTGTTTTTCATTACTGAAGTAATGGTAAATGGTAAATGGACCTGTACTTGTATAGCACCTTTCTAGTCTTCTGACCACTCAAAGCACTTTTACACTACGTGCCACATTCACCCTTTCACACACATTCACTCAATGATGGCAAAGTCCATCGAACAGAAACTAACATTTATACACATTCACACATCGGGAGCAATTCGGGGGTTCGGTATCTTGCTCAAGGATACTTCGACATGTGGCACCAGGAGCCGGGGATCGAGCCACAGCCGCTGACCAATGTTCTCCACCTTAGTGACAATGTATTCTTCCTCTTCCTTCACTGTTTGCTACAGCGCCTCAGGCATGCAACTTAGTCACCAGACTGTGTGCTCATGCAATGTCAGGGCTGTGCTCAGTGACTTGGATTTTGGGGCTGTATTATTGTTTGTTTCTAAAAAAAAAAATCATTATTTCTTCTGCCATGTGACTTGCTAGTAAGTGGCATCTTGAACTGTCTTGTCGACTTCCAAAGATAAAAATGAGTAACAATGTTCAACGTTGACTTTCTTGAGGAAATGTATTAGTTTGTTTTCCTAAAAGAAAGAGCACATTAAGGAAACTAATGATACTACCATCTAATAAAGCTAACTCAAGGGGACACCCACTGATTTTTTCATTGGATGGTATATATTTTTATTGCATACAACATAATTGCTGCCTGTGATGATGCACAGAAAAATATTCTGCTATCACCAGAGGCACTTATTTTTAATGCCTGGTAGCAGTTACTAACATCATAATCATCAATTATGTAAGAACTGCATAATGTAAGATAGCCAATAATGTGGTACAATTAGAGCAATCTGTAGAGTTCCAACAGCACTACAGAAAAAGGCATTGCCTGAATGTGAACATGTGTGGAATTTGTGGTTTAATAAATCCCTGCACGTCTGCAGTGATACAGTGACAGACAACTTTCTCTTTACACTTGGGTGGTTAAATAATGACCTCAATTATCAGAGTTTTACTGAATAAAGCCACTTTTGCAGCTTGAGTTTTAGCAATAAAAATGGACTTGGGAGGTTGGTGGAAAGTGTGCCAGAAACAACCAAGCTCAATCTGAGAGAAGTGGATGTCTGGCAGGTCTTAGCTGTTTCCCTCTGCTGGCTGCTCCCTAAACTAAAAGACCCAGAGACATGGGCCTCTAATTTCATGTTGGTACAACGTTATGAGCTGGCAAAAAGACCAGTGGCAGTATGCGCAAAACACTCATCAGGAAATCATTTTAAAGCTGCAGTAATCAATCTTTTTATATTAAAAATGGATCAAATAAGTACGTGTAACGTGAACTCTGCAGTTCCCTTCAGCTCTATTGAGCATTTTAGTGTCTTTCAGCTCAAAGAACAAAAACAATCCATTAATACTGCTTTAAATATGATGAAATGTGTCCACTTTTCTGCACTTCTTAGTATATCATTTCAAACAACCAAAACAGCCTAAATGTAAAATTGTTATTTATTATGCCTAATGTATGTTATGAAGGCAGCAGGAGATGTGTTGTATTCAGCAGGACCGCACACAAAGTATAGTGCTTTTATGAAAAGCACTTTACAGTTTGCCTCTCAATCAGACACACATTCACACACTGATGGCAGCGAGTTACCATGCGAGGTGCTGGCATGACCATCGGAAGCAATTTGAGGTTCATTGTCTTGCCCAAAGACGCGTTGACATGTGGACAGGAAGAGCTGGGGGACTGAACCACCAACCCTGTAATTTGTGAACAACTAGCTTGTAACCACATTAAATTATGCAAATCCCATCAAGAAGTACTGAAACATAAAATGTATTCAAACATTTTAAAATTCCATAACGTATTTATGTAATTTCTAACATCTTTTATTAAAATACCCCTAAATTCAGTACTGTATTTCTTGACTTTTATCCAACACTACCTTTAATTTATCATATCACTAAGGCCTACACATATATACGCCACAGTGTATTTTTGATATTCTTCTCATATGATTGGGGGCTGTTGAGGTCCATGGTTGGCCAATGGGGCCCCTACAGGTGCTATTAATAAGTAATCACACACGAGCAGCATAAGAGGAATATTCATAAGGCTCTGGCTGTTACTGCCAGTCTACTGCTGTGAAACTAGAGAACCTCTGCTGTCTTCTCCACTGCAACAACTGATATCATCTCATCTTGCTGAATATGTTTATAAAGTTACTCTTTAACATTATGCTTAGTTATGTGTCTTTACTGAAAGGTCTGTGCATGTAGAGAACATATTTCTCCTGTGGGACAACTAAGTTTTAAATGAAGGTGAAGTGAGTCCAGACTGGATACTCCCTGCATCCTCATTACTACCTGTGCTGGAGAGGAAAATTGTATTTTAACCTACTCGCAAACATGCACGCAAGTTTAAATGCAGCAAAAGCTGGTACTTGTACAATTAAGAGAACAGCTCGGCACAAACAAACAAAAAGTGTCCCGATTGAACCACACTGCACCAATGAGAGCAGTGGAGGATAAAGGCTCTTGTTGTAGAAGCTCTTGATAGTAATGTGACTCCTGTCGTAGCTAATAACCAATATAAAATTAAATAGTATGATTCAAATAATACCGTTAAAGTTGACACAAAGGTGCAATAAAATCAATACACTGCCTGTGGGTTCCAAGTATCCATTAACAAATTGATAATACAATGCATTTTGGTGCATCATGTCTGCATGAGCGGAGATATAATTTTTCACTCCAGTTTCCCAGTAAGTGGCAAGGCCAGATTGTAAAATCAATACAGCCTCGACGTCTCCATACCTCTCCTTTTTCAGCAGCTCCTGGCTGATGTTGACCAGCTGCCCAGAGGCATCATGGGACTTCTTGGTCATAGACTCCAGCTCCGCTTCCAGACGCAGCTTCTCCTTGGCCAGGGCTTCGGCTTTCTTTTCCCCTGAGCGAACTTTACCCTCCAGGGCTGGTGCAAGAGAAAAAAGAAGCATGTTTTTGCTATGTATTTAGCATTTATGATGTTATCTTTTATTAATTAACTAATAAATTGTTGATAACACACTATAATGTAGAAATATTGAGGGATATTTTTAGGTATTTATGTGTCTGTCAACCACTATATATATATATATATATATATTATGTATTAAGTATTTCCCTTTTGTTACATTTATTTATTATGTGTATTAATAAAGTATGTATTATATATGTGTATGAAATATTTATTGATTCATAAATACAGAAATAACTTTCCATGAAAACTGAGCAACTCTATATGCTGATGACGGCCACAAGTTGTGGCTGAGGGCCTTGAGTTAATAATTTGTATTACTTCAAAGGTCAAGACTAAACATGTCTTTGAACACATTTATAAAGAATTTTCAAACCACCTGTGAATGATGTGTACATGTCAATTAGAGTAATGTAATGTAATGTTTTATAACATACTAAGAACATGTATCACTAAATATGATTATACCTAGTAACTCTTTAACGGATATGGTCTCAACTCTTCATGTCTTAAGAGAACTCCTGTTCATACTGGCCAATGCTCTTCCAATGTGACTAATGAGGGGCAACATTCACAGTCCTCATTCTGTGCAAAAAAAGTTTGATCTGAAGCTAATTCAGGGCTTCAGCAGTCCAAACCAACAGGGGATCTTCCACAGTTACAGCCTTTTTAATATGAAATTTGCTCTTTGTGTTACTGTTCCTCCACTGCAGCTCAGCAAACGATCATTATTCCTTCATTCTTTGTAATTATTACATCATTCTTTCGAATAATTTATAACTTCTGTAATACCACAGTCTTTAAAAACTCACTACTATTACTCATTTCATTTCTGTAAGTCACATACTGTGGCATACATTTACTTTGTATATATGAGCATATATTGTATATATTTTATTACTGTAAGGTACATGGGCTCTTATTATATTTCTATTTGAGTTTTTATTTTTTACTTATATGTATTTACCTATACATACATTTTAATTCTATATATATTGTGTTAGATCTTGTAATATAATTATTATTTCTATTCTTTAACATTGTGTGAGCACCTTGAACAACTGTAACAAACAAATTTTCTCCTGATGATCAATAAAGTATTTCTGATTCGGATTCTAAAAAGGAAAACATAAAGGGGGGACTTTTACTTAAAACTGTATAAAGCTTTCTTATTAAAACTGCTGAAGTCTCATATAAGCTTTTTTGTGCCCCATCATTTACAAGTATGTTAGGTGTGAGGTCAACTGTTTGTAAAAATCAATTATCAGAAAATTCAAATGTAATTTTATTTAAAGCAACAGTAGAGAAGAGTAACTATACTTCACTTTGTGTCTCCTATTATTCTTTTCTCTTCTTGAATTATTCACAATCCATTCTTCAAAGTGTGTCATTTTGATTATCTGAACTACATGAAGTGTGTTTTGGGTCTTTTTGATGTGACGGAACTTCAAGTTTTCAAAAGACAGCCAGTCGACAGATTTTGCAGCGATGATCAAAGAACGTAACGGTGAAGATGAACACGATCCACCGCATGGCGAACTCAGCACGACTGGTGGGAAATGAAGTGAAGCCTGTACTCATAACACATACGGAGTCACTGCGCCGATGTACAAAGACAGCAACGCCGATAGAGTGACACTAATGAAGGTCATTATCTAAATGTGACACAGATAACGAGTTTATATATTGAGAAATATGTCATATCTTTTCCAAACCAAACCCCTAATTGGTTGGATGGGTGGGAAATGCTTTAGCCAATGGCAAACTTACCCTTGTTTTAACACTGTTAGGGTAACGTGACCTGCTAAAATGCTACAATCCCCCTACAGGCTACGCAGAATGTACTTGTTTTTATTAGCGCTGTTACTGGAGTGTGACAAAGACGTGATCTCTCTGCAGCGATGCAAATATTTAGAGATGACAAACACGAGAGCTCGGGAAAAAAGGTCGCTGACTGCTCCTGGACATGTTCTGGAAAATGGCATTTACCTCCCATCTGGGATTTGAGGGCTTCAACCTGGGACGTGAGAGTCGAGACCTCTTTTTCCCTTTTCAACATCTTCTCCATTGTTTCTGAAGAAAAACAAAAAAACAGTAAGTGTCTTGCTTGGAGCATGCCATGTTCAAGAAACCACAATAAGTGCACTGATGCAAGCTCTTGGTCGAATGTAACAATGTCTGTAAGGTGCATACTGTAGGTGTCTGTCTTTAGTCCAAATGCTGCTAGTAAGGAAATCTTTATTTAGAAATGAGAATAATAAGTGACCAGTAACTTTTTCGATCATCTGCTTCTAGTCTTAATTCTAAGCTAAGATAACCAGCTGCTGTGTGTAGCCTTATACTTAACAGACAGATATGAGAGTTATGGCAACTAAATTTAAAATAAACAGACATATATGAGAGTTCTTTTCATCTAACTAAGCCAAAAAGTGCCTATTGTAAGCATATTTCCAAAAAGGTCAAACTACTCCTTTGAATGGCTTTCAGCAAAGACAATAGTGCATTTCTCTCCAGTCCTTACATAGAAAAATGGACATTATTATCTCAGCAGCTTATAAACTCATATAAAATTAATTAAATTAAAATGTAATAACTTGGAGAAGAATAAATAATCACATTTGGAAAACGAAAAATTGGTTTTCATGAAATTGTACTTGATGTTAAAATAAATGGATGCTGATACCTTCAATTTTCTGTTTTAGCTTCATCTTCTCATCTGAAATTTCATTATCCTCTATCACCTGCAAAGGGATAAAGTTAGAACTGAACCTAAATAAAAGCAAGGACAGCATATCAAATTAGGTAATGGATTTCTGATTTGTTACCAATCACTTCTCCTTGGCCACTCACATTTGCATCATGGGATGTGTAGCGGTCTGCCTGGATGGCCTGGAGCTGGTTCGCTGTCACCCTCAGTTTCTCCTCCAGTTTCTGGATCTCCTCTTGGCTCTCTGCCTGGGCCTTCTGCAGAGCCTCGTAGTCGGTCATCTTCTTCTCCGACAGCTCCAGTCTCTCTCGCAGCTCCCCTGTGCTTTTGTCCTTCTCCATCTGAAGCTTCTCCATCTCCGCCAGCCTCTGCTCTGCCTTCTGTAGCTTCTCGGTAGCCTCTTCAAGGGCCTGTTTGCTGCTTTTGGCCACTACCTCGGTCCTCCACGTATGGTTGCCCTCAGCCAGCTGCTCTTTGGCCTCCTGAAGACGAGTGCACAGGTCTTCGCGTTCCTTGGTCAGCATGGCGGCCTCGATCTTATGTTTGGCTTTGAGATTCTCCATCTCCAGCTGGTGCTCCATCTTCAGCGCCTCCAGAGTGGTTCTCAGCTCCTGGGCGTCCAGCTCTTGGCCTGCTGGAGTAGTATGATCACTACACAATGTGGCCTTCAGTTCCTCCAAGGAACGCTGGTGGTCACTCACTAAAGTGTCAAATTTAGCCTGCAGACAAAAGTGAGAAGAATTATATGATTGAACTGGTTGTATGTTTGGGAAAACATTCATCCGAACTGATTGAAATGTTATCAGTTATTAAAATTCTTATTCTTGTTATCTCTGCTTTGTTTTTCTTGGTTTCTATGCTTTTACTTTTCCATTTTGCTATTATATTTGCAATACTTCACTCAAACCTCTTAATTTTCGCAGAGTATTTCAACATAGAAACTGTCTAATTTGAAAAGAACCCAACCTATTACCTAGAAAATCTGTTACCAGTTGAGCATACAAACTTTCATAACTTAGTGATTCAAAGAGCTCTACTCAAGTGACCCTCCTGCAAGTTTTTTGAACAGCATCGGGTTGAAAAGAATATATCTGAATACCTTCCAGGTGTCCATCATTTCCATGTTTTCCTTGGTGGCCTGTTGGACTTTCTGCTTCATCTCACCGATCTCCTGGTTCTTATTATCTACCACCGCCTTCAAGGCGTCTACCTCCTGCTGGCTCGCTGCTATCGCCGTCTCGTACTTCTCTTTAAGCTCGCTGTTTTCCTTGTAGTGCTCGCGGCCCGCCGACACAAGCTGCTCGCGCAGGAGGAGGGTCTCCTGCTGGGTGTCGGACCCCGGGGCAGCCTCACTGTTGTTGGCTTGCTGTGAGCTCCTGTCTGATCCTCTGAGTTGAGCCTGGAGGTTCTCGATCTCAGCTCTACGGCTGCTGAGCTCATTCTCCAGCTGCATGATACGACTCTGCTCTTCAACTGTGGTTTGCTGAAGAGAAAAACAACAGCATCAGTCACTGCTGCTGGCAGTCTGTCTGATGAGTACCACAGCAGAAAGATGCCAGCCTTTCAAAAGAATGACCTTATTACCGTAACAGGTGGGAGACCCTGCAACAGAATGATGTCATTCCACAGAAAAGGTGACAATGACTTTAAGAGCAGTAATCAGGCCTCAGGAAAAAAGGAAATCAAAGGGAAACCCCATGAAGGTCCTTGCAAGGATTGGAGACGGGCAAGTGCATTCCAGTGAATAAACAGTACAAATAAATTACATTACATGTGTGCACATTGGACAGTGACAAATTGTGTAACAAACTGACTCCCTGCTGTACTCTTGGGATACAAAATGATACAAAGACTGACTAACATTTAAGCAGATCTTATTTAATGAATATGTGTTTCAATTATTCATGTGAAAATAGTCACACTTAACTCCAAATTGTCTATTTCTACCTCTCTGTTTAAGTTAGTTACTATTATTAATAAACACTTATCTAAAAGGCGCTAAAATGCTCAGTTGAGTTGAGAACAGAGTCAGGGGATAATTCTCTGTGGCTTTGTCGCTATGAGCAACAACTACACATAGTTACACTCATTTCACCTAATAATATAAAAATATCAATTAATGTAGCTTTAAGTCTTCTAAATTACAAATTTGCAATCCTGTGGCCTTCCACTATCCCCTTTCTAGTAGGCCAAAATTTAAAATTGCTTATTATTTTTGAGTAGTACCATTAAAGTACTGGCACCACAAGGGGATTGCATTTCACAGAACATCAAAAAGTCTAAACAAACCATTATACTCATTTTATGGTCTTGTTAAATTTGACTGTCCACACTTAAATGTTAAAGTCAGTGTATCATTTCCATCCAAAGTAATAAAACCAAAAGGAGCCAGAGGATCAATGTGTCACTGTCCAAATATTTTTGCAGCTCACTGTATGTGCAAAGAAGTGGAAGATGAGAGGAGAGCACAGCCATTCTCTGATCATCTAGAAGCAGCCAAGCAAATATAATAAAGCCAACAGCAAACCTCCACACAGTGACACTGCACACACACTACTGCAAACACCCTCCAAACACTTGTATCCAATTAAAACAAACCAAAAAAAAGAGATTAAGAAAGAGGACCCGCTGCACAGTGCACAGATGTTAATTTCAACCATCTGGGAAAACAATCTACCAGACCTCAGAGTTACTAGTTGATTCATATCAAAGAAGTTGCCTGAATAGCATTCCGATTACAGCACACACACACAGGAGTAGAGGAGTAAAAAAGAGTCTATGCAAGGTTAATGTCCTTGACAGCATCTGAAGTCGATTTGAAGTCAAGAATTGAGATAGCTCAGCAGCGGATCAAAGCCAAAACAAGATCAAATCTTTTTTTTTCACCTTGGTTCTCTTACCCAACCTCAAGGATACTGCATCATGAGTGCATCTTCCCTGTTGGCAGAAGCAGACCTTACTGCATACAGGAATCCAGCGTTTCAAAGTGTTTTGTTATTTTTTGATGCCTGTAAATTGAAAGCACAAGCTTGTGCGGTTTGATTTGTGATACTATAGTCTATTATTGAAGAGGCTTTCGCTCTTAAGTGTAACACTGCATGTGAAAGTGGTGTAAAGGACGTCCTTTGCTACACTCAACTACTGATGGTAAATGGGCATTACCACCATGATTTGTCTTGAAACATTAATCTAGGAATCCGTGATGAATCCCATTAACAATTTAGAAATTTTTCATGTGTTACTAATTACATTACTGTTAAAAAAAAACACTAGCATTGAGCCCAGAGAGATTCATCCACCATGTTCTCCAGAGCTCAGATGGAAGAATGTAATTTTAAATGTCATGTCCTGGCATCTTAAAGTGCAGCTGGCAACTGATCCGAAAGCCAACCTTAAATAAAAAGGATCAATCACAGTTTAAAAAGAAAACGAACATGAGCTACTGCAACAGAAGACATGTGAGAAGCTGAAGCAGCCGACATTTGTTTTTCCTATCGGAGGTGAATGTCTCAAGGGAAGCTCTGGGTCAACAGTGACGAGCAGTTTTAGTGTGATTCATGATATGACAGTGAAGGAATGAAGGAGAGGATGGAGCGGATGGAGCAGATGAACTCTGCATAATATGTGATTTTTCATAGAAGGTAAAATATAACCATCTATGGCCTGTTGGATAGCATGAGCCACTACTGACATTACTTCTGACTTTGTTCAATTAAACAGTGCATGGAGTACCTAAATACATATACATATATTTAAAAAGTTAAAGCTGGCAATATACTATGTTTTTCTTATTCCAAATCCTGTGAAAGGCCAAAACCAACAATGAACTGATCATACTAACAATTACTTTCTGATACGTTGTTTTCCTCTGTGCCTTAGAGCTCCATTGTTGTCCAAAACGATTGAAAACACATCAATGAGCCAAACGATTACACTGGTTGACATGTTCCTTCTTTTCTCTGAAATATATTTTGACTCGATTCCCAGACCGATGCGAATTAGTCTGTAACATCTGAGTTCTTTTCAGATTTCCAAGGGGCTTTATCAACGGGTGCAGACCAAAATGAGCTGACAGATCTGTCTGATTCCCAGGCTAACAGACACAGCCTTCCTGCTGTTAAGACTCACACTGAATGTGTACTAATCGGTGGCTGAAAATAGTCCACAATAAATGCACAATTTAGTCCTGTTTGAGTAATGTTGGTTAAAAACTACAGTGCAGTATCTTCATTAGAAGCCAGTGGGGTGGGGGCTGAGTGCCATAGACAGGGGCAGAGGTAAAGTGCATTGGGAGATGAACCAATGCATTGATGGTTTTGGTCTTTTTTATGAGATTTGACAGAATAAAAGTGTTTAAACTGTAGGATTTTAATATTGATAATTGTTTAACTTTCCAGAAAGCATACAGTATTTATATCATTTCAAGCATTAATATTATCTTAACCGAAATATAGGTGCATTAATATACAGATATAGTATCTGTTGCATCAGGACATTGATACAGATTTCTTGCACCAACAAGTAAATCTTCCAATATGGATACTGAAAAATGGTTCCTTGCCTGTAAAAAATGATGAAATGTTGATGAAATATGTCTGTCAAAGCTATTATTCGGTTATTGGCAAGAAAAGTAAGGGGAGGCAATGCAGGCTAAATGATTCGTATGCTTGCATCTGTAATTCTGCATGTTTTGTTTTGCACATATCACACCCATAGCTGTTTGTGCAAACTGAGACTGCAAGTCAGATTGATCAATATAATGATTTTAAATTATTATCACACATACATCTCTAGTTTGATCACATGTCAATTTGGACACCGAAGACAGGTGGAGTATGACTTTAACCTAAGGCAGCTTGTGAGTTGTGCTACTATCAACAAAGAAGCAAACAGAACCACACAGGACAGTGGCTACAGGCAGAGGGCTCGTGCTTCTTTACCCTCCTCTTCTCTAAGTCTTTCTGAAGCGTCTCTACTCTCGACTTTTCGAGGAGCAGACACTGCTCAAGCTGTCGAATATGGGCATGCTCCAATTTCGTCTGAGTCTACAGAAAGGACACAAAGAGAAAGACAGAGAGGAACAAAAGAGCGATAGAAAAGAAGAAACTCAAAGGGAAAGAGACCCATAAAGATCCAAGGGGAATGATAGAGATCAGAACAACAGTCAACATAATGATGAGAGGAAAGTCGACAGCAGCTCTGAAACAGACTCTGAAATGAGTTGATCATATGATAAGGAGACTCGAAGAGAAGAGGCTTGTGATTGAGGTCAGTTCAATTTCAGGCTTTGAGGACAACTCTATAACACATTTGTCATGTATAAAAATTCCTGTCTGTATTGTTTAGTGGCCTTGCATGATCGAAAAACAGTGTGCACTCATACACGGTACAATTAACCAACTGATTTAATCATGTGTATATTGATTCTCATTAAAAACATTATTAGTTCAGTCAAACTGTTGATAGTGTGATATGTGAGTTATGTGATTGGCTGTTTTTGGGGATCTCGCTCTGCACGTCCAGGGATGGTTATGATTGAAGGATAAGGTTGGCGATATTCTTCTATTATTGTCAATAAAGTCCTTTAAAAGACCAAAACAAACAATGAACTGATCGAGTATTGTCTGATATAGCCTCTTCCTCTGTGCCACAGAGCTCCACTGTTGTCATTAGTGAGCCACGCTGTTGCACAGGGTAAAATGTTCCTTCATTACCATGAACACACACGCCACACACGTGCTGCAGCCCCAAATAGTCACTAGAGCCCCAAATATGTATTAATCTGTAGCTGAAATTAATCCCCAATATATGCACTATATACTCATGTTTGAGTAACTAAACAACTACAGAGCTCAGCTGTTTTAGAATATTATTTTAAAATTGAAAGTGTATATTTGTGACCATTTTTTGAAGATTTCAGTCTTCGAAGTAATTAGTGTGAGACTGGGGGCTACATACAAAGTAGGGAAGGCAGACATACTAATGGTTTTGGTAGTTTCATGTAATTATTTATCTTTACAAAAAGAAAATTACAAAATATCACCAGCCTTATCCATTATCACTCCAGCCTACTGTGTTTTATCCACTTCTTTGTGTAAAGATTGCTTCCAAACAGAATATTACGCTACATTATAAAAAAAGGAAGAAAATCAGTATTCTCCGCTAGTAGTCTTGACCTTTTTGTCTAAAACTTTTTAGAATACTTCAGTCACCATCTTACAGCCCGTGCAATCAGAAATGTGTCTCCTGCTGTATCCACTTGAAGGCTAAACAGAAGGAAAGCCGCATTCGAAAGTGAACAAATTACATTTACCTTCCGTTCAGGTTCTTTCTCGAGGGACACACAGGAGAGAGGACAGATAGTGCACCTTATCTAACGGATTTCAGACTTTTCTGCATAGCGTAAAAAATGAGGTACAAGTCACACCTTCATTGAAGTAAGACATTTATTCATGGTTTTTAAATCCTCGCATTTTCCTTGACTTTTGCCCCAAAATGTGCTGCTACTGAAAGCTCTCTTTTCGTTTAATATGTGTATTGCTGGGGTAGGCAGGCAGTGCAGTGACTGGGGTAGCTGTCAATCAACTGCTGAGAGGGGTTCAAGTCCAGATCGTCCTCCCTGCTGAAGCAGCACTGAACTCCTCATCTGAATTTCTCTCATTAAATCAATTTGAAATGTTTGTGTGTGGTTAATCTTCCCTCTACCTTCTCAGGGTCCATGATATCAAAGGATACACTGGACATTAATATGTGGAGGCACATACATTGCATTATTGATACAGTTTATAGGTATTGGTAATGCTGATAAATACCTCCAGGTCTCCTTTGGTGATGGATTCCTCCTCTACTCTGAACTGGAGGTCCTCCACTTTCCTGTAAAAACGTTGTGTGAAATGTGGCACAGACGGTGAAAACATCAGAGGATCATAGGCTTGCAACTGTGTAGTATTTGAGTCACTAATAATTACCAGATAGGCTCTAATAAACAAAAGCTTAACTACTTTCACAGCAGCATATGAGCAGCATGTCTTTACTGCTGTGTGCAAACATGGTTACACAAATAAGGGTATTTTTCTCAGCCTCACACTTTGTAGAAATCACAGGTTTTATCCCAATAGTCATGAGAGATCGAGGCCGTATCAGGAATAGTTCAACATTTTGGGAAACAGGCTTATTTGCTTTCTTAATGAGAGTGAGACGAGAAGATCGATATCCATTTCACGTCTGCGTGATGCCGGAGCTGAAGCAAGGACGTGTTAGCTCGCCGTAAAGACTGGATCTGTTTTTGGCTCTGTTAAAAGTGAAAAAATAAACCCACCAACAACTCTAAAACTGTCTTGTTTACACAGTGTGTCTCGTTTGTTTAGTCCGAACACAAACACAAATGTGAAAGCCAGAATTTCTGATATTACGGCGCAACAATTTTCTTGACAAACTGCCAGACAAACTCTGCCCAGTGCTTCTGTGCAGCGTCTCTGGCTATAGCGCGGGGTTGCCGGGATTGGCCCGGTGAACACAGGTTTTGGTATGTGCAAAGGAACAATGGTACCAAAACTGGCAACCTCACTGTGACGATAGGAGCTTCTGTACGAGCACTGTGGCAGGCACGGTTGTCAAGAAATAGTTCCAGCACATAATATATTTCTGTTTATGTACAGATAAAACCAACAAGATGTGCTGTTTGTGTTCATATCAGCCGTAAAACTCAATCTCAGAAGAAAGCAAATAAGTTTATTAAAAACGTCTGAAGAGAGATCAACGTTTCAGACTTCACTTCCCTTGTTAAGAACAATTCTGTTTTTAAATGATGATGTGAAATTGTAATGACTAGGATGAAAGGAACAAAAATACAATTGAATGTTTAATGATCTGAGAATGTATTTTTATAGAGACTCATGGATCCAATTATAATACCAAACACCATACAGGAAGAGTGAAAGTAGTGACTTACCTTTTTTCTTCTTCCAGCTGATTGGTCAGTTCCAGCTTATCTTTCTGTGTGCTGGCCAACATGGCTTTGACTTGCTGGAGGGTGTTCTCATTCTCTGTTACAAACTGTGGATAGTGGGAAGAAAGGTGTTTTACGAGAAGCTACTACAGACAGATTTATTGTTAGGAGTTATCTAACAGTGGCTCTGTTTACGGCTTCTATTCAGCCGTCCTTCCCCGACAGATCATCGTGCTTCGTACCTGCGTGTGCTGCACCTTGAGGACGCTCAGCTCCTTCTCCACCTCGCAGATGTGGCTGGTGGCCTTGGCCATGTCGGCTCGCTCCAGGTCCCTCTCGGCCAGGAGCTGCTCAATGTGCTGCTGCTTCTCCTTCAGGGCTTCCTGGAGCGCGGTGGTGCCTGAGATCTTACGGGCGTACCGCGACGATGTCTCCGTCAGCTGAAAGGGGGAAAAAGGACATAGCATAGGACATAAGATTAGGAAAGTTGAGCAGTAGAAATGATGGGAATGTAAAGGGAGCGAGGGGGAGGGAAGAACGTGGGAAAACAAAGAAGGACGTGGGTGGAGATGTTGGAAAAAGGTTATTAAAAATGTATTAAAACATTTTGAATTTATAAATATTGGACACAATTTAATCAGCTTCATGTTCTCCACAGATCACATCTGGTTATTTTCTCATAACAACATAATCTAATTATTTAATGATCACAGGAAAACTGCTTCCTGTGATCTCGACATAACAGGCTTTGCTTTCTTGGGATCTCTAAGTAATATTTCACAATTATAAGAAGACATACAGTCAGTTTTCATGATCATGGAATAACTATTTTGCAAAACCTAAATTTCATGTAATAGCATTATATCCTGATTATGAAAAGGAAAAGTGTGTTATCCCTAAGAAAACAATGCTTCTTACATTGAAATGAATTAGTTCAAATTAGAAATTTGTTATTTCATTATGTCACGAGACACAAACAATTAAAAATACCAAACACTGAAGTGAACAGTGTTCCTTTAGGACTACTTAGACATTAAAATAGAATATAATAAACTTTTTTTCCCCTCAAATTTTGGCTACACAAGACTCCAAACAAAAATTATTTCTCAGTTTTCTCAACGCCATGGTCTAAATTTTGAAGTCCTGAAAGATGCAATATTTTCTTTGACCACTAGAGTGTGCTCTTTGAAAGGATTCCTGCCTGACCTATAAGACCAGTTCGATTCTGTGGCCTCTCTGTCTAATTCAACAAGCTTATGCTGGTAGCTCTTAGTGATAACATACTGTACATAATCACAACATAAACATTTCACAAATAATTTTTTTCGCAGTATTTCTGGTCTGCAAACTTTGAAAAAAACTGAAATGCTCACAGGAGTTACTGGATGTTGCACAGGTCATGAACTCCTGCTTTTGTGTAGGCGCCTCTATAATGTACTACAGCAAGGACTGCAGGCAAGTAATGTATACTTTGATGAATGTTATTAATATGAACTCTCTTTATTATCATCACAGCCATAAATGCAGTAACCGACTGACTTTGTTAAGTGTGTGCTATACGATTCTTAACTAAATCTAAGCGTCTGTACCTGCAATCCACAGACAACACGACCTGTGAGCTTTAGAATATTTTGTGCAGCGTGATCAGCTTGATAATTCTGAGTGGCTGACACTGCTGCCAACAATTAAGGAAAGTAAAGGGGAGTGTTCTCCATCCAAGATCTGGCTTACAACCAGAAGCTAAAATCAATGTGAGATACCCTGACGTCCCATTCATTTGAACCGTGCCTGAGTATATTAGTCTTAAAGACACAGCGCGTTGGAACGAGCTACTTGAGTTCTCGTTCAGCAGCAGGTTTGCAGATTTGTCATGGAGGGACAAAATGCAAACTCAGTGAATCAGAGGCTCACACTGCACAGCCAGAATATGCAAATTATTAACTGCTCAGCAGATAAGGGAGTATTTCAATACAATGAACCCATTCATCATCCTGCTGTTTGAATGTGTAGACAGGATATTTCACAACACTGAACCAAAAAGTCACACTTTAAACATTTTTACTGCAATCAGACATTGTAATAGATTTTTTTATACTATACATTACTATATTATAAAATAGGGATGTAATAAGAAGAATTATAAAAAGAGATCAATAAGGATAATTGGTATTCAAAGGAGTGGAAATTGAAAAAGTTTTAGTTTTCTACTGTTAAAAGGGGACAATTATAATAAATTATAAGGTATCTTAAAAATGATGCTCAAGAACATGCCATTTCAAGACACTTTTATATGTTTTATTTTTATATGTTGAGGCCAGTCCCTGAAATTCTTGCTGTGATTATGTTCACCTTGAAGCATCTGTTACTCCGGTTTTGAAAGGCACTGCAGAAATAAAGTTTACTTACTCACTTACTCTAAAGGAATAATTTTGGAAATATGCTTTTCAGTTTGTTGCAAAGAGTTAGACGAGAAGATCGACACCACTCTCACGTATGGCACTAGCAGCCGGTTAGCTTAGCTTAGCTTAGCATAAAGACTTTGTTTAGTCCATATTAAATGAATCATGTGTTGGACTCTCTCTTGGCTGGAAACAGTAACTTCCTGGAGTCTCTGCTGGTTTCCTGGCAACCTCATGGTGAGGACACAACTGTTTATAGCTTCATGTTTACTACACGAACATGACAGCGGTATCGACCCCCTCATCTAACTCTCGGCAAGAGAGCAAACAAGCCAAATTTCCCAAAATGTCAAACTATTCCTTTAAAGAGCACATTACACTGTCTGACCAGCCCGTCTGCTTTCAGTATGTATTTAAAGGGTATCGCAGTCATCTTACCAGTCCAGCTCGGCTCGGTCGTCCACCCACAGAGGAGGCCACCGAGCTGACTGAACTGATGGAGGAGCTGCTGGGGCTGTGGGCCAGAGAGGAAACCCCCATGGCCACCCGCTTGCTCTTCTTAGCCTTGGCCGGGCTGGTGGAGGGGAAGCCGATGCGGATCACCTTGTGGTTCGGAGCAAACAGGCCGAACTTGGGAAGACACTGAAAGTATCTGCAGGAAGAGGAGGAGGGAAGATAGGCGAGAGGTTAGGAAGTTCCCAGAACTGCTGTTTGATGATGTTACCAATACATAATCAGTTAATAGAGTCCCTTTGTGTTTCGTTTGGGGTTTCAAAAAGCTTTATTAGGTACTCGGGTACATTAATAAGCATGGACATGAAAAATGCGGATGGAATTTTTACAGGAGATAATTATCTTCTTTTGCCATCTGGAAACATTTGAGCTTCAAACCAGGTGCAACAATGCCTTACAGCTCCTGCTGCATCACCACCAATTAAATGGCTAATCATTAAAATCACCTATAAAGCTTTAAAACAAAACCAGCATGACAAGTGTAAGAAGGCCGGAGTCAGCTGCAGCATTACAGAGCAAGGAATCAGTTAAATGCACAATATTGTATTATTGAGTCATTTTCCAATAAAAAAAGGCAAACCATGCTGTTTCCAGCATGTAGAATTTACTGCTTTCAAGTAGATTTATTTTATTAATCCCCGATGGCAAAATTCTTTTTTCACTCAGTTTATTTTACACACATAGACCTGAAACCCAATCACACACACACACAAAGGGTTTATAGACATCCAGATGTGGAGAGACGGTAGACACACGGGCTGCCACTAAGCGGCACCACAGGAGCAGTTAGCGGTCCGGTGCCTTGCTCAAGGGCACGTCGGCAGTGGCCAGGAAGTGAACTGGGACCTCTCCAGCAACCAGTCCACACTCCATACTGTGGTCAACCACCTGCCGCCCCATTTCTTTGTCATATATGAGAGTAAACTGACTGCTGGACTCACAAATCATCTTTAATGTGTCACTTTGGGGCCTAGGAATGTTTTTTTTTCTCCATTTTTTATTAACTGCAGTTACTTCTACTTATCTTTCTTAGACATCTTTCCAAAGAATCTTCTGACTATCAAGGAGGATTTTCATTTGAGTAATGGCTGTGTTTTGATTTAATGTAAGAATGTGCACGATATAAATAGTTTATAAGTCCCAGGTATTGTTTTGATGTTTTCACTTTTGGATTTTTTAAGACAACATGTGAAGTTTGTTAGTCTGTTTTACTGTTTTCCTTCTCTAACTTCTCTTCATCTATCTTTGATATTGTGAACATAGTTAAGAGGCCTTGAATGAGCCCCTCTGCACACTGTACGTTTTGTTATTTTAATGCCTTTTTAAATATAAACCTTGAATCCTAAATGATTTGGGAAATACAATCAGAGAGAAGATTACAAATTAAAACAAACCTTTTAGAACAAATTTTGAATCAAATAAATGTCTGCGTCTGGTTCTATAGTCTTTGTGTTGGTGAATGGGCTACTTAGAGAACTTTTTCCCTTTTTTGCTAATGGCTTTAAAGTTCAAGCAATACTCTTTAACCATATTTTACCCATTTCCAGCTGCTTTTTAATAATGGTGGGGGGAAGAATATGTGCTGTGCTAAGGAACATGTCTGATGGAAATAATAAATATGATATAAATGTGATGAATATGAAGCCTAAAAACACGACCCAACCAATGGTGCAGACCCGCTCTGAGCTAGAGGGTCAGTCAGTGTAATTTCATGGACAAACAGATGAAGGAACAAAGAACAAACAACTGAACAGATGGACTCACAGTCTTCCACTCAATTTCCTTTTAGGGGAAAAAGCTAAGGAATTTGGGCAGCTTAAAGCATACATTGTGTGTGTGTGTGTGTGTGTGTGTGTGTGTGTGTGTGTGTGTGTGTGTGTGTGTGTGTGTGTGGCTGTGTGTGTATACCTTGTACCGGCTACTGCACCATCATTCTTCCCCAGGGGCTCATCCAGCTCGACCCCACACCATTCACCCTTAGCGAAGTCTGTCTCTCCCATGTAGCGTATGACTCCCATCTTAGAGCCTCCCACCTACAACACAGACACACAGAAAGAAAGAAAGAAAGAAAGAAAGAAAGAAAGAAAGAAAGAAAGAAAGACAAGTTAAATGCAATCTCAGTAAGTAAACATGAAGCTACAGCCAGAAGCTCATTAGCCCAGCTTAGCACAAAGACTGCAAACGGGGGGGGGGGGGACCAGTTAGCCTGACTCTGTCCAAGCATAAGCATATTTCACCAAATATCAAACGACTTCCCTTAAGACTGGTAATAATAAACACTGTTTTGGTTCTGCTATTGATATTTATATTGAAAATCAACATAATAAATCAATTTTCGGTTCAATATCTTTCAATATGTGACTTAAAGGTAACTTAATCACATAAAATGACACATAAAACCTGTGGATAAACCCACACTGACATATTTTATGCATATTTTTATAATATATTCAATGCATAACAATAACAGTATAGAACAACTGATAAACTGTACAAAGAACACAAATAGTGAAAACAATGGATTTTGAGTAGATTATTTCCCTTTGTTAATATTCATCATAGATTAGTTTTTAGAAACGTTTTCTGCAATTCTGTCAGCAATATGTCATTTTTTAAATTTATAATTATTATACAAACTCAATAGGCTTCTTTTAATGCAAATTCAGTGTTTTTTTCCCTAAATGTTATATAGCTCTTTGGTAGTTTTAACTTTTCTAAAGCAGGACAAGGCTGTTTAACAGAGAGTGCAGGCTCTGTGAATATAGCTCGTGTTTAGTTTAAATAAAAATCCAATCAGTTTCTCTACAGCACTGTGGAAGCAACTGACAACATAATGGACATGTTTTAAGACTACAAAGTTATATGGACCTGTGCATGTCATTACTGTGTGAACCAACAAGTATTTTAACAAGGTTGTGTCAAGAATTCAAATGGAAAATCATCTGTCCATGGTGATATATTTAAGTTGCCACATAGTCACGCCTTGAAGCTCTGTGCTTGAAAGATTGGTTTCCTGTTAGGAAGAAGGTCTAACATCCATACTCACTGCCACTTGGGTCAGCCAAAACTGACTAGAACAGCTGCTGAATGTCTTTCACACATGGCGACCACATGTATTAGACATAAAAACTCATCAACATGTACAAACATCCCACGAGTCACAATTTCCTCCAATGACTAAGAGAAACGCGTAGGATAACACAGCAGAAAGACTTCGCTGATCCTCTGTTACAATTAGGTTTGACCTTTTACTCCAAAGAGCATTGTGCTCCCTCTTCATTCATAATAAATCAATCAGCCAATAACATTTTTCTAACTATTATTTTCATTATTTTACTAATAATCAATGTTTTTAACAGTTTAAAAATGTCTTGTTTAATCTGAGCTATAAGTCAAAACCTCTAAAATATTAAATTTATAATCACATTAAAATAAGGAAACCAGCAAAATTTCACACTTGAGAAGCTGAAGCAAAAAGTGTTCTCATTTTTTAATTGAATGACAGATTACCAAAATATTTGCTGAATCATTTTCAATCAATTCTCAACAACTGATAAAATAATCGACGCACTTCTTTTTTTTTTTTACCAGCATCTATACCTGGAGCAATTTATCCAACTATAAGACAGTAATCCCATTCCCAGGCAGTTATTAATAAATTAATACACAGAATGTGGGAAGGCACTGCAGATGTTTCAGCACCACAGCTGCTCATTTATTGAGTTTTATTAATAATGCCGAGTATTCATTTCACATTTAAGAACCACAGCCTTCCAAAAAAGGCTCTTTTTTTTTACTGGAGTGCAAACAGGTCCCATATATAAGCACTACTGACTACCAGGTTTAGTAGCTGGATGCTGAATACAAGCACGAACCAAAAGAAAAGGGTGCAGAGTGAGTCACTCTTCAGCTTTCGATTGTCAAATTAATATTCCACTCCCCTGTCTTGTCCTTCTCCTAAACCAGAGAGGCCGAAAATGAAAACGTGGCAAGAAACACTGTGGTGTCACAAGACATTAAATTGAGATGGTTCGCCGTCAGCCGGACTGTGTGATGTCTCAGTGACTCAGTGTCAAAGCGCCCGCAGTGCTAAGACAGCCAGTCAGTACAAGCCCCATCTTGGCGCCTGTTATTGCCAATCTCATCTAAAAGCTGTGCTCAAAAGGTGGTCAAGGACAGTTCCACAGGAGCTGAACCCCTACCTCAAGAGTCTTATCTCAGGCTGTTACCATCTCTACTTGAACATGCCATACTGAACTACTAAGACGTAAACTGTCATCCTTGATGAAGTCCTTGTGAGCGCAAATGGAAACTAGCTGGGGGCCCGATAAGCAGGCTGATCCTAAATATAAGCAACCAAATTTTATTTTGAACCAAATTACTAATCATTACTTATTAAAACAACAAAAATGAACATTTTATTTCTTGTTGCTTTAGTAAAATGTATAGCCTATTTCATAATGAAAACCCTTTCTTCTACAAAATGTATTAAGTATGTTCTTTTGGGTATGCAACATCAAAAGGCGGCAGGCCACATAACCTGAGGAATTCACTGATCTAAACTAACTACTGGCTAATGTTACAGTGAATTTCCTTGCTAAGCCAGGAGCAGAGGGAAAAGAGGGAGCTGGCACAGGCGTTAGACCCAGTGCCTCTCTCCCAGAGAGAGAGAGAGACAGAGAGAGAGAGAGAGAGAGAGAGAGAGAGAGAGAGAGAGAGAGAGAGGGGCATGTGCATGTATTAATATGAGTAAAGCAGATTTGGGGGCCCATTTACTGGATCTTTTAAGGGCCCATTTCTGGGGGCAGGGCCCGCTAGCAGCTTTGCTCTAGGGTTGGCAATGTCGGCCTGTCGGTCCACTGTGGTTCAGATTGAAATATCTATTGGATGTATTGACATTTATATTTCATTTTCTATTTGATTTATATCTACGTGGTACAGACGTTTGTGGTCTCCAGCCCTTAACTTTTAAGGGATCACTTTTATGCAAATTAGCAAAAAAAACTAAGAAGGTGAACATTACAACATTACACCTGCTTAACATCCATTTTTTTGAGATTGCAACATAATACAGTTTCATTTCTCTCTTAAGATGTTTATTAAAATCATTCAGGCTCCATGGTCACCCAACTACAACCGTGCTATTCTTGTGTTAAGGGACAATTACATTCACAAGCGGCCATTTGAGTGGCTTTCAGACAATCCAAATAAACACCAGCCACATCACATGCAACCCCACTGAAAGAAAACACTCTTTTAACCTCAAACTCTCCAGTAACAGAGACAGCCTCCAGTTAAATGCTAAGCAGAGGAGAGGCAGGTCTGTGCTTCCTGTGGGTGCTCAGACATCAAAGGTGCCAAGGCAAATGGAGACAGTAACCATGTGTTTAGCCTCTGAGGTTGTCTCTCTGTTGGGAAACATTTCTGCAGTTCATTTTTAATTTTTTTTTTAAATATTCCGAGTAACATTCTCTTGAGGCAATCTCTAGATGGCTGCTATTTAGTCTCCAACACACAAACACTTGCCAAGTTTGACCTTAGTTAGAGATCTGTGCAAGAAAAGCATGGCCAGCCACTGCTTAAGTCCAAAAGATGCCTCCAGTTCATCAAAATGTGTGTGAAAACAGTGTCCTACTCCTGCTACTATCACATAATTCAATACCTAGCGGAGGAACATAGTCTTTGCTTTGCGTAATCTGAGTTTCACACTTTGTGCTCATTTCACCAGGTTTTTTTTGAGGCAGTGTTGTATTTCCAAAAGCAAAAGGAGGGGTGTGAGACAACTGGATGGCAGCACATCCAGACCCCCGCAGTAAGATAGATAGATTACACGGGAGAGGCTTAGGAAATAGATGGATTCACTGATCAATGTGTCAGCACTGGTCTCTCCTCTCTTAAGTGCTGAAAGTAATCCGGAGTGATTTACAATATTGACCAGGAGGAAGGCTTCTCGAGCTGCCCGTTTGCAACAGCCCAGCATCTGATGTAACTCTCCCCTGTGCCCATCAGTTAATGGAAAGCAATGTGACCCGGGGCCAATAATTGCAAGCACAGATATTGTATACACTCATAGGGGTCAATGAGAAAATAAGCAAAAAGGACATACAAATGTTCTTCTCCCAGAGGTTGAATTTCATGTTGTATATGTGACTGCCATCTTCTGTTGGGTAAGGGTAGGGTAAAGGATAAAGGTACAATAGAGTATGGATTAAGGTTGAATTAACTAATAATAAACAGGATAAGGATCAACCTGTGGGGATTTGGGCATCAACCTTGTGTCACATTACACTGTACATTGTTTACTTGTGTGTTCTGTCCTTAAAGAGTAAACATAATGGTGTGTTTCTCTGCTTTAAATCTCCTCTAACCTGCCTTTGACTGATTTCTGGCCTGGTGCCACAATGATGATGTAGTATGAAATTCAGTATGGACACAATCTGATATGGTCTGCACACAGTATTTTATTTTGAAAATTGACCAGATTCTCTAGGACATTTCGGATGTCTGACTTCCTGCCAGTGCGATCTGCTCTGTGCTGCCTGATCCTACTTGGAGCAGAGCGGAGACGTTTCTGAGACAAGCCACAGGGCTTATGGTGGAATTTAGAGCATTGACTAGAACGTGATAAGCACTGGCGACTGTGGTGGAGCCAGAACGTGTCACGGCCGTGTCCGGTGGAATTTGGGGGTAAGGGCTTCATAGCACTGTAATTAGCCATCCACTGGCACTTCAAAAAATCCCTTTCAGCCATAATGGATCTCAAACATTTACAGGAAATCAAGTTAAACATTTTTAAATTGCACTTTACAGATTTGCACTGATAGTGGAATTATTTATATTCCCACTTGTTAATGACAATCATTTGCTTTCTGGGGAAGATCAATACAACTCTTTTACAATGTTTGTCTGTTAAATATAAGGCTACAGCCAGCAGCTGGTCAGTTTAGCTTAGCCCCCACCCCCAGCGAACCTGCACAGGATAGAGATATATAGACAATGAATGGAGTCTTTTGGACAACTTATGATACCCAAGGTTCCCACCATTGTACTTGTACTGTAAATTTCCATGACATTCCCACAATTCTCATTTGTCACAAAGTGGGAATCTGGTCTCTCTTCCTGGAATGCTGTCATGTAAACAGTCTGGCTCCCATTACAGATTGGTTGAAAAATAAATTCTGCTATGTACCTATAAACGACCCATTTCTACAATCTTCTGATATTCCCTTGCTATGCCAGATACATTTTCAATTCCCCAGACTTTTCCAGTCTGGGATTGCATTTTTAAATCCAATGATACTCCACAAATTCCCTCACTAGAAGGAGCGCCGTCCAACAAGCCATTTGTTATCCAACACAAAATTACTCACCAAAACTCGATCTCCAACTCGAAGATCCTTGTCCCCAGCTTTCTTAACCGAACCACTGTCAGACATGTTGGACCCCGACTCATTGCCTGTCTTCACTGCGCTATTGAGTAGGCCCTCTCTCAGTGGCACCACTACCCGCTGGCCAGCGGGGGCGCCACTGCCACCCTGCTGAGTCTGATTCTGGGCAGAGAGTGAGTCAGTGGAGTGGCTGTCGCTTCCCTCTCCAACCGGCTGTCGGTTGAGCTTCGAGGGTCGGGTGAAGATGCCCTGGAGGGGTTGGCACTCAAAGTAGCGAACTCCGCCCACTGAACCATCGTTTTTGCCAACTAGGTCATTCAGTATCACGCCGGCCCACTGTCCCGGGGCAAACTGGGTCTCCCCCAGGTAGGCGATAACTCCTGGTTTGACACCGTTGACCCAGACGTGTTCGCCCACTGTGTAATCCCCCAAAACATCGTCACCCTCTTCAGAGATTTTAGTTGGTGTGGTGGGCTTGAGTGGACAGTCTGGAGAAAAAGAAAAACATTATATATTATTTGCCATGTTGTAAAGCAGGAGCAAGTGTTCATACAACTAAAACAAAAGGTAACAGTAGCAAGGAACATGAACATTAGTGAAATGAAACTGATGTAGTAAAATGTGCTTTAAGACTAAATCAATACTTCTTATTGTAAAGACATTCCATTGGCTAAAGCCCTCCTCACTGGAGGGTCAAGTTGTAAACACTGCATACATTGTGAGAACATCATCATTCACAGTCCAGCAGAATCGGCGTCACACTATTCATCATGTTTTTGTGTCATGCCAGCAAAAAATAAAAAAATTAAAAAAAAGCTTGTGTGGCAGCATCTAGCACAACTGTGCAGTTTGTGCAAGATTAGGCATTACTCTAATTCCTACTGAAAAGTGGGTCAAAGAGACGGTATCTGTGATGTGCCGGTGATTAACCCTGCCTTGCAGCCCCTGTGATATCGCCTGTTTGACACATAGATGAGCTGGATCTCTGTTTTTTTCCACAGCAGCCTGTAAACTGAGCAGGGCACCATTAGCACGCGGTCTACTGCACCGCACTGCCAGTAAATGTCTGTGTTTATCTGTGTGTGTGTGTGTGTGTGTGTGTGTGTGTGCTCAGAAATGGTTGGTGCCAGGGCTGTCTCCCCAACACCCTGAGAGAGGGCTTGGGGCTCTGTGAGCCCCAATGGTTGTACTTTATGCCTCAATTGCTCCCATATGTTGTGATGTGAGACACATTTAGAAATGCAAATGGGTACAACTTCAAAGGTTTTAACTTGATGATCAGTATGAAAGTTTTTTAGGAATGCGCTGCTTCTAGTAGATGTTTATTTTGGGGAAAACTGTTGATGACAATTTTCAGAATTTAGGAAAAGACATTTGAAATATTGTAAAATATTTAGTCTTCTCTGACTTTGGGAAAAAAGTTTGTTACATAAATCAGCTGACCCAAAGATATCGATAATCAAAACATGGGAGCACTCTCTGGTTGATCAGTAATGTTTCAAAAGGAAAGTCGCCCAGGGCAAACTGTCATACAGCATCAACATCAGCCATAATTCACACTGTCTTTGACCCACATTGCAGTGCTCTGCAGCTGGAATCACAGCTGGTTTATGAACGCCATCCAAAACACCAGTGACAGTTTAAAAACCTTAAAAATCTTAACAAGGTCACAGTGGAACATTTTTAGTCAAGATTTGGTTTGATTTTGATTTTATGAAGCAGTCAAGATCGACATCAAAGGCCTGTCTCCTGTCCTCCTACCTCCAACCAACGTCCAGATCCACATAAATATTAAACACATTCAAAAGTAAATTTGCATGGCTCTCAATGAGAAGACATTTATCCACTTTGCAATTGGTTCCACGCATTACCGTAGATCCAAGCTCTTTAGCTATGCCTCACTTGCTGTCCTTACTTACAGGTTAACACTGAAACATTACTTCAGAACATAAACGTACCGGGTTATATTATAGGCTTTCCGAATCAGGATTACTTAGTGGCCATGATATAACACAGGATAACCTGACTAAGCACAACAAACACAATTCCCACTCTCTGTAGGAACAATATGCTGTAGAACTGCTAATATCATGTCAATAACTGAGACAGTTATTATACTATCTTAGATACTGTATCAGATCTTTCAGAAAATGTCCACTTGGTTGGGTGTATACCACAAGAAGGGGGCGTTCATGCAGACTCTTCTTGTGAACACAGTAAGCACAACCCCATTTGAAGGCAGCATAAAGCAGTCACTGATTAAAGGTGGAGAGAGATAGTTAATTACTGAGTCTCATTCCCGGGTTATCAAATACTGACGCTTTGGCAACCCAAAATCTTTGCTATTTGAGCACCAAGGCCACCTGTTGTGTGGCTCGCTCTGAGCTCTTTGTTTGTTTTCCATTTACCAGGACCCAAAGCTGGCTGCTAGTATTGAATATTGACTTGAAACTGTGAACAAATATTGACAGGCATCTTTAATCTACTCTGCAAATGTCCTTGTTGAGATCTGTAGCCATATTGTTTTTGTGATTATTGATTCTAAGTAAATGTTAAATTACTGCTAGCTATAACTGTTTTTGCAGTTACTCTTTTTGCATTCAGTGTCATGGACTTTATGTGAATGTTTACCTGATTATTTAGTGTGTTCTACTTCCTGCTGTTGATGTGATAATACTTAGTTTCTTCCCGGCATGAAACACAATGTGAGACTGTATTTTTGCGAATCCAGTGTCCTTGTTACTGTACTAACACATAGCTTTCGGTCTAACTCTTGTTTGTCCATCTCATTTTCTCTTGTTTATACTATAATTTAGAATTCAGTGAGTATGTCCAATATTCAACTGCTCAAAGTAAAAACTTCAAAGGAAACCCAGTGTCTTCTATATTCATTGGAAGTGTGTTTAGCCCAGTGCATAGCTGTGCCACTGCATGCACATCGAGGGCTGGAGACATACAATTATTTTTTTTTTAAGGCATAGACCAGATAAACCAATGCAACATGTGATCCTGGCCAGCAGACCCAGGGTAGTGTTTAAAACCTGAGCTAACCCATGATTTGGGTTGCTGAGGCAACAGGAGAGTGAGGGCAAAAGGATCCTCGGCAGAAGGAAGACTGAAAACACAGTCCTTACTTTCACTATTGTGCTTGGCCACCTCCCACCACCATCTGAATCCCACTATTCATCAGCTCTGCACAATGAAACCTCCACAGCTTCCTCCCGTCCCTCCTCCTCCCCCCAATTATCCCGCCATCTCTCTCTACTGTGGTTTCGCGCACACACACACACACACACACACACACACACACACACACACACACACACACACACACACACCCTCTTTATCTGGCCTCTTTAACTGTGCTTATTTATCATCATTTTCCACAGTGGCAATCATCTTCCTCTAACTTGTTCTTTTTGTTTTAAATTGGACTTATCTGTTAGACTGGGCTGGCATTGTGTCGGTGTCTTCGGCGCTGGTTGTGGCAGCTGCCTAAGGCTGAGCTGCACAGACACTAACAGATGGAGGGGGTTGAGCTTGAATGCTTTTGACTTTTGGTGCTTTCAATTGTACCATGTTTCAAGGTAATATTTTACACATTAAGGAAATCCACAACCAAAGTGTGAAGTTGGACATTTGAGAGGAAAAAAACAGACATTTAAGCTCTTTCCCATGAGCACCAACAGGTTTTTAGGGATGTTGCTCTCCTTTAAATGACCAATTTATCATCTTGAGGTCTAACTTTCAGTAAATCCATTTTCACATGTGGCAGAGCAGAACATCGCTGTATTACTACCTACATTGCATTCTTTATGTCTTAAACAGCAGCTGAATAATTAATTTTTGTTTCCTGTTTGTATTTGGTTAATTTAGCTTCATGCTGCCAAGTTACAGGAGATCTAGGACTCACATGGACTCACATGGTTTGGTAGTTTGTCTACGGGACAGCGACAAAGGAATTTCTGAGATTTTGGCAGGGATGGTTGCAGATGAGTGATGGAGCAAGCAAGAGGGTTCATAAGAAAACTGATTTAAATCACTGTCACTTTAGGCATGAGATCTGTGCTGTGAGTTACCTTCTTTGCCATTCAGTTCACAGGTTAGTCCCTCTATGCCCATTTAACCTTGCTTTTGTGGTACAAGGCTGCAGTTTTCTAACAAAGCATACCAGGGCTGTCTTGAAAGACGACAGTAAACAGCTAAATTAGATAAATAGCTCCACTACTGTTTGAGTGAGTTTGCTTTTAGTAACATTATTTAAAAGGACTGTACTGTCATTACATAATAATGACTGCAAGTTACAGAACAACTGTTGCTATTAAGCCATTATAATGTATACCACCTACAGATTCAGCATGCAGTCTTACCAGGCAATTCACCATTCAACTGTGAAATAGCTATTATGGGACACACACAAAGGGCTGAAAACATCAGAGGATCAAATTGTGGTGTTAATAATGACGTAGGTCTCCCTTTAACATCACTGGGTGTGTCAGGCCATTGTGGGCAATGCTGCAAATACAATGACGGACTGATTTAATGTATGTGAATATTGGATTTACAGGACTGATGCATCTATTTGTCAGGTTTCATTTAGTGGATTAGTCGAAAACAGATATTTCCTTCTGCCTATGTAAGTGTCTCAATTTGATTCCCCCCCCCAATTCAATATATCCCAATATAAATCTTGCTATAAAATTACATACACCATGATAGAAGATCTCCTCCTGGCAGCTCCCTTTGTGAACATTTTTATAAATTTTCGTAGAGCAATTGTCTTCAAACCTCCCGAAATCAGAGAACTGCTGTCATAATAAGAGACCATGATACGTTCTTAATGTTGTGCTTTCTTCTTATGTGCAATCTCACTTTACTCTAAATGTCCTTATGCAGGACTTTATGCATGTCATCTACCTCTCTGCCATCTTTCCAGGCTCTTGCTGTTATCCCACTATAAGCTTTAATCTAAAGCTGCTCTAATCTATATTAATAACCCCTCATTAAGGACAATACTGCAATGTGTTGATGTCTTTTATCTTAAGTTCATCTTAAAGCTGCACATTCTTGTATTAACAAAGGACCAAATGAGCATGCGTAAAGTAAAAGGGGTCTCTCCTAATGACCCTCGGAGGATTAAAACCCAGCTCTCACTTCCTAAAGAGGCCTCTCCTTGCAATCATCACTTTTGACTTTGTTGTTGCAGAACAAGTGACACCCTGTTTACACATAATTCATGAGGTTGTTATAAAGATCAGCTGTACGTGTGATTAGAAACGAGCAGAGGAGCAGAATCACCTTTTGACCTGTGCAGAGAAATGTGCCCGAACCAGGCTCACACTCATGTGGGAAGTGACCTATCGAGGTACGTCCGTCTCCTGCGTGTTCCTGGCGTAACTGTTACAAACTTAAGCATAGTTGAGCATTTAGCAGCCAGAGAAAGAGCCAGATAAGAGTAAGTGGAGAGCAAAACGGAGCTCTGAATAAATACTAGCATTGCTCCACGTCTGCTGAATGTGTAGATATGCAACTTTATGCTTACACGCTCTGAATTAAAAAGGAATAACTCAATGCAGGTTCTAGTGGGATTACAGAAATTGGCTTTTTGGGGTGCAGGGACTGCAGGTGTATACTGTACGAGGACTGTGGACTCCAGAGAGAAACAAATAGCTGAAACTGTACATCTCCAAAAAAGGCAACAGCCCCACGGCGACCGCGACTGAGATATTTCTGCTGAGGAACTAGCTTCCAAGGTCACAGGAGACGTGGCACATCACGAGAGGTGGCACGGCTAGAAAGGAGGCTCGGATACGTTCCTCTGTTCACTCATTGACTACAGCTCTCTCCAGAGGCCGAAGCAGTTCTTTAAAATTCAGCAAACTCTGCCAACTTCCGACACAGTGGCCCCTTCTCACAATCTTTCCCAGCTAAAACCAACAAACAGTGGGTTGAGATTGGAGTAAGAGGCCAGGTCAGTGGTAAGATTATCTGGGGCAGGAAACTAATCCCTTCATCTCTATTTTATTGATTTTTTAGCCAACTTGAGGTAACAAGAGGTATATCATTGAAAAGAATGAATGAATCAAGATAATAATGGATAGAAGGCATCCTCCTATTAGAAACAAGACGAGCAGAGACACTTACACCAGAAATAAGTCTCACCTCTAAAAGGAACAGGTGGGTTCAATAAAGGCTCCCATGTGATCTAGGTGCTGCTTGAGTATTGGTCAGACCAGTTTTCAGCATGATTTCAGTCAAACCTTTCATTCAAAGGAATAATCTGTTAATTAGTAAGAGCAGTTTCTGCCTGTTAGTCTAGTCTTTATGCTAAGCTATGCTAACCTGGCTGCTGGCTCCAGGGTGATATCAATCTTCTTATCAGATTCTTGGCAAGAAAGCATCATTTTTACTGCTCCTTTAAGATATCTCTAATTACATTCTGACTGATAACAATGAACCTATAAGTCAGTTTTGACTCTCTGAAAGATATTTCCATTTAAATTATAACTAGATGAAATTCTTCAATGTGACTGGATACAACTACATTCAGCACATTTAAAGATATCTTAATCCTCTTTTTGATTCAAAACTGCATTGGACATTTTGAATTGAGTTTGAGATGATAGTAATAGATAGTCATAATTCCTTTTAGGATTAAGACATTATGGGTGTCCTTTAAACATAAAAAGCACTGAGTGATGATCCCTTATCACATTTACATAAAATGTAATACAATTACATACAATCACCAGTGAGAATTAAATCTCAAGATATCTTTGATTGCATTCTGATTCTGATTCTGATTCTATGTAGAAAGATCATTCAATATATCACCAAATATACTGTTATAGGTTATAAATGAATGATGGGTATCTGTAATGTAAACGTCTATACTGATAAGATGACATGCAGATCTTACACCATTGGGAAATACTGTGTGCATCGTGACTGTGTATTTTCTTCTTTGGATAAACAGGATGTGGGCCAACTACTAATTTCATGTATGGTAGAAACAAACAGTTTAAACCACAGGCATCAATTTAGATAAGCACTAGTCCCCCATATGGACAGCTGACGAGCCCTGAGCAACAAGCATGGGTCCTGCATGCCACATTGAGGGATTAGGCTTTTTGAGCTGGTAATGGCTGATGATTTCAGAGATCACAGAGAGACACAAAGATGACCTCCAGGCCAAACACTGACTCAGATAAACAAATTCAAATGAATTTTTGCTCATTCTCTTTCAAAATGCTTATAAATGGCTTTAAGAAACCACAGAAAAGAAGGTTCTTATAATGCTTATAGATGTGTCGGGCAGCTTTTCAGTTAAGTCTCTCCGCAGATAAACAGACATAACCAATTTTGTAAAACACATATCTTATTATTATTTTACTAGATCCCATTTTCAAGTGTCAAATTAATGACACAGCTCTTAATATGTAGTGTTTATTTTTAATTTCTGGGAGAGTTTCAAAAAGGATTTAAAAGTCCTTTTCATTCCATTCATCTAACATCCACAACTTATATATATATATATAGGTATAATATAAACCATTATGAACTGGAGTGGGACAGAATTCACATGCAAGCAGACTTCTATAAAGCTTAGGTTCACCACTTAAAACAAAAAAAAAACATTAACTTAATATTAAATACTGCTGGTAGCGCACTAAACTAATTAGAAGTGATATACGGTTCAGCAAAGGAAACACTTCCTGTGTTGGAGCGACCTATATGGCTTCAGCTCTGTTTTCTCCCCCCTCGCTCTCGTGAAATTCCTCAGTCAACATGAACCATGACACACTTGTAGCTGCCTCTGATAAAAAGGCCTCCCATGCACACTGATGCTAATGAGAAACAAGCACACTATCAGCCAAATAAGGCCGGCTATTCTTCTGTTCTGTTTGCGCCGAGCTGGGAGTGAAGCTGTAATTTAGCAGAGACAGAACTAACGTGCGTGTGAAGCTGGTGGGTTGGGGCTGTCATGTGAGCTAAAACTGGGGAGGATAAACAGTGCGGCTGCGTTTGAGGGTGAGAACAGCTGTGATTACTTTTTGCAGGCAGGGGTTGTCATTTTCATTCTGAATGTTTTTCGGTATGTCTAATTTTGGTGAGTTGTCAGTTTTTCAGTAGCTGAAAGGTCAAAGCTGTGCTCAACACAGTCACTGTGTCCATATTTCACCTTTTCATTTCAGATCTCTGATAAACGGACAACGCTGGTGATTGTATATTTTTGTTTCTGCCAACAAATCTGATTAAGAGACCAAAACCAACTGTGCATTTGTCCGTCTTTCAATACTTTCCTAATGAAGGAACAGCCAGTGCAACAGTGTGGCTAACTGATGTGTTTTTAATAGTTTTTGGACAACAATAGAGCTCTGTGGCAGACGGGAGTAATATATATCAGGCCTTGGCTACAAAGACAATACCTCTTTGTAGGAATGTATTAGTGGTTTTTGCTCGTTTAATTTGTTGACGATAAGAAAAGTCTAGAGAAGGGGTGTCAAACTCATTTTAGTTCATACAGCCTAATATGACCAGTAAAACCATTGCATAATGACCTACAAATAACAGCACCTCCAAATTGTTGCCTTTTTGTTGGTGTAAAAAAGTACAAGTACATTCTGAAAACGTTCACAAGTAATGAACCATCCATTTACAAAGCCGATGAACAGCCAGAGATATCTCAAGTAAAATAAGTGCAATTCAAACAAAACGTTAAGTCACATGTATTTTGGAACTGAACAAACAATGCAGTATTTTAATTCTTTCTTTGCCCAGAGGAGAAATCAGGAATAGCAGTGCATTTTATTGAAATGCAAAGTCATCCAGTGGGCCGGATTGGACCCTTTGGAAGGTCGGTTCTGACCCACAGGTCACACAGTCAGGTGATGATTCTGTGTGGATTTGACCCCCTTTTACATTCCTTCATTCCTACATTCATTTAATCCACTTAAGAAAAAAGATGAGTGCCGCTTTAAAAGATCACTACACGAGAGAGAAACTGCCTAAAACCACAAGGCATCAGATTAACATTAAGTCTTTTTGGCTGATTATTTATCGTTTTATATATAAATCTACATTATTCTAAATGCTGAGTGAGGCGTGCATCCAAACTGCTAAGAGCTAACAAGAAAAAGTGGCGATCTGTGTAAATACACTGTTAGATTAAGTTAAAGAAAACACTTCCCAGCTTCTGTGTGTGTAAGTAATCGAATGCAGCTGTGCTCTACTGAGTCATTAACGCAAATAAATGGACTCAGCCACTTCCGGTGATGAGAAGGAATAACTGGAAGGAATAAATTCCTTCCAATTTTTTTTCCGCAGGGTCAGAAGGAGGAAGTTACTTACTGTCTTTAGGGACGACAGGGCTTGAAGTTCCACCCGCTGAGGTCCTTCCCACTGGGCTGGAATGCTTGGGCCCCCGGCCAGGGATTTTCAGTCCACTGGACTTGAGCATATTCATTCTACAGTAGCAGGGGAGACGGCCGGGACCTGAGAGCTCCTTCCTGGGTGATGAAGGCTTGTGGATCAGGCACTAGATGTGGGAGTGGCGGCTCTCGCTCTCCATGTTTAGCTGTCGGAATGAGAAAGGAGGGGAAAAGAAGATCATAAATATAGGAACAATTAACAGAAATCACATGTGAATATGCAGAGCGAGGGGTGTGATCTGAAAAGATGCACGCTCATGTGTCACCTAGCTTTCTATCCTCTCTGAATGGCCCAGACTGTCGAAGGAGAACAACTGAGAACTGGTTTGCACAAGAATATATGAGAGTGCATAAAATCTGTAGCTGTTGGTTCAGTACACAGCAGAACAAAGGTATTTAAAGGATTTCCATACCATATTTGTTATTTTCATTTCATTTTCAAGTGTCATCTTAGGATCCCCCACTGAGGAGTAAATGAATCTGAGGGGGTCATAAAGGATGAGACAGAATAAAAAGTATATTTTTTCTGACTTTTATTCCCTTTTTTCTCATATCTGAGAGGGGGAAAAAACACTGTTTGGTTGTTGAACTACTCCTAACTCATGTCCGCACTGGGCCATAAAGACGTCGGAAAAAATGTCGAAACCGCTGACTTAGAAGAAAATCTCAGTTGTTGATCTGTTGATGTGATTTTTCTTTTTTTACAGCATGTGGCTTCCATTTATCTTCCTGGTCCTCCTGCTTTACACCCAAGTATAACGACAAAAAACAAATAAACCACATTGGGATTTGTTTACATCCAGGAATCTGAGCTACTCCACCATACAGTTCCCAATACGCAGGCACTATAGGGGCTCATTTCTGGCTACGAATGTGTTCCCATTTGTGTTGTTGGCTGCTCATTACAGCAAACCTAGAGGTAGAAAACAGAAATTAATGAGAAGTGGGCTCTATTCCAAAATTGTAATACCACTTCGGTACAATACACTACACTGCTGTAGTGCCTCTGAGCTGGAGCATCTCATTAACCAACAACCAGAAACTGTAGTGGCACAGAGGAACTCCCACAGTTTAGTTGTGTCTTTGTCTAGTTACCTACACCTGACAATACAACAGAAACCTCTAAAGGTAAAACATGACACCAACAACAAGCCTGTTATTAATGTTTCTACCACTACATTCGCCACACTGAGTGTATTATTATTATTATTAATTATTATTATTATTATTATTATTAATAGCATCCCATTGCCTCATATATTCCTCCATGGTTCATTCAACTTATCAATTTCCAACAGAGTAATAACATGACAGAGCCAATGTAGGCCGGTGCCCAAGTGGAGCATGGCCTACAAATCCTGCCCCCCCCCCAAAAAAAAGCCATTAAGAAGATACAATGCTGTTATAGCCTACAATAAACAACACACATCTGGTTTTTAAAAACTACACAGTGAGAATTAGGAAAGAAAAGCAAGCATTTTCAGGCATAGCTAGTTAATCATTATTCATAATATTTACCCCTAATCCAGATAATGGAGGAAACGTTTTCATTTATTAGAGCCATCAATCCTGTTAAAGCTGTCGACAATGATGGTTTTGTTTATAACAGAAGTCAAAAATAAGGCCTTTTAAGTCTCGACTGTGGTTTTCATATGGCCTAAGCTATTCTTCACATGGGCCTGCGTTTATTTCCCCATCCACACCTGATCTGAGTGCACACGGGATCGGAAAAGCGTCAGGATGATAATGCGCACCTCCACAAAATGTAACACAACGCCAGTTTGATCCATTGTTGTAGCTACTGCGGCAACGTGGTCCAGACTGTCCTTCACTTTAAACCCTGAGTCCCCCTCCTCCTCCTCCTCCTCCTCCTCCTCCCGGCCCAAAATGACACAATAAAAAGGAGGACAAAAAGCACATTAATGCAGGAAAATACTCACCTTTTCTGTGTGAAATTAGAGCGTCCGAGGGGTGTCCGACAACCCGGGGGCGGGGGGGGGGGGGGGGTGGGGGAGACAACTTTCAATTTTCTTGCCAGGAAAAGGGGGATTAGTGGTTGCCACTCCCTGGGATGCAAATATGGATGCTGAGCAGAAACTGAAAGGGAGAGTCAGCGTGGATCGGCGGAGGATGGCAACCACTGCACAGTGTCAGCAACCGACCGGTGATGGCTTCAGCAGCTTGTCTACCGGTTCATTATTGTCTCTCTCCCCAGGATGAAAAGAAGCAACCCACAGCGGCGAAGATAACCGACATGTATCGCTGTTTGTAGACACCGAGCAGCGGCACACACGTCCTGACGGTCCCCGACGCGAAACGCAGCATCAGCAACACTCAAAAAAAAAAAAAAAGCCAACTTTTCTCTCTGTCTGGCTCTGGTTTAAACACGGTCTCGATCCGGACTCCCGGTAACCGTGGCTGGGTTTTTTTTTGTTTCCGGGCCTCTCTTCCTCAGCTCTTGTCGGTGTTCCCACACTGGTAATGGATTTCTTGGGTTAGCACAGCCTTCCCTCTGACTCAACCCACCGGCTAGACTGAACAAAGGGGCTGGGAAGCAGAGCCTCCTGGGGGTATGATGAGAGTAAACTACAGTCTAGCTCATCCCCGTGACGTTCTCCGTTTAAAAGCATAGGGGTTTTAAACTGGCCCGAGCTTATCGGTCAAAATGCGTGACTCCCAAAGCGTGACTCAATTCAATTCCCTATCATTGGTGCTGCTTCTTTTATTCGGCATCAATAAAATCGTCACAACAACATTTCTTTCGCAATAAAAGGCCACATTTATGAGCGGCTGCCAGTGTTCATTATCCGCCTTCGCCTGTGCCTCTTCAATTAGAAAACATCTGGCGTACCAATTATAAAAGTTAAAAAAACACACGAATGCACTTCTGTTTAAAACATCACGAGTATGCCGAATTGAATATAGGTTTATAATAGTTCATAATAAGCTATTAAATCACTCAAAACCACAAGTGCACTTTCATGAATAAGTGAGGAAACATTAAATAGATGAAATTCTAATTGAAGTTTGGTGCTGCGTTCTCTGACACCCAAACAAGGGGCACGTTGTAGACAGTTTACAGGCACATCTGAAACATGTATGTATGTATGGAAGAATTAAAGAGCCAATTGCTCAGTTCACCCTCAATAGCCAGGGTCAACACGTGAAACCCACGTACACGCGTGGGCGATTCATTCTCATATTTCTCTCATACTGTGGGTGGGGCCAAAACCCAGATCATATGGATCTCTTAGGCTTTTCCGGCTGGTTTTAATAGGTTGGGATTGGTCAGTGGACCCAGAAGTCGACAACCAGGGGGACACTGTGATTGGTCTGCTTGTTGCTCCTGGGAGTGTCCCCTAGTTTGACAGTTGTACCGCGAAATAGAGACCTCTACTGCTGCACTGCTCACACTGCTCTACTCCCTATGCCACTGCTGGAAGTCAATGCAGTTTGCTTTGCATGCTTGTCTGTGGAGCCTGTATTGATGATCATTCATTAATGTTAAAGTTAAAGGAATATAGCTCCACGTTTATAGCTTCCCGCTGATGGTTTAGGTATAAATATTGCTAAGATATGATAATAAGATATAGACTTTATTGATCCCACCCTGGGGAAATTCACATTGCAACAGCAGCTTCAGATACGCCATCAACAGATAAGAAAAATGCACATGAAATAAACAGAAAAAACTCAAGTTATAATAAAAAAATACTGCAGCCAGTTTAGCTTAGCTGAGCATCATGACTGGTGTCTAAAAGTAACAAAATCTCCATCTCTAAAGCTCACTAATTAATGAATAATAATAAATTCATATGTCTATGTTGTTAGTTTAATACGCTCTGAAACAAAAGTGTAAAATCAATGCGATGGACTGATTTCTTGGTCGGGAGCAGTCACTTCCTGGAGTCTCCACTGGTTGCCTGGCAACTGCTCTTGGAATAGTCCAGCACTTAACCCCTCGTTAAGGACAGTAAGGCAATATTAAGCGAAACACGATGCCACCCTGGAGGCCGCGCTGGATGATCTTGTTATCTTAATAGACCAGTGGGTAGGATTTAACGGCAACTGGCAGCAGTGGTGTGTAGATTACAACCCCCTCGCCTCACCCTGCCGTTCCAACCGGTAGAGACTACGGTGGCTGTGAAACCCGTGAAAAAAAAGCAAAAAGTGACAGTAGAAATATGGCGTTTCAACGTGGCAGCCAGCGCAGAAGAAGCTCCATGTAGAGTAAAACACAACAACTATTATTATAGCTATATGTTATATGAATATTATCATATAATATGTTACACACTGGACCTTTAAAGCTGAAGTAACCAGTATTAACATATTGACAGTGGATTGGTGTAAATGGTCTTGCTTATGGTGAACCCACAGAGAATTATTATCAATCTCTGTAGTTCCCCTCAGCTCTAGGGGGGATTTAAGCATCTTTCAGCTCATTTGGTTTTATGGCATGCAGCTTGGTTCAGTCTCACTGCTCTCATGAACCCCGTTTCCAGCCACAGGAGGCTGCTGTTTTCATCAGAAAGGCTCTGATAACCCCATTTACTCAAGTACTGTTACTTAAGTACAATTTTGAGGTACTTGAATCTTTTCATTTTCTGCTTCTTTATACTTTTACGCCACTGCAATTTAGTATTGAATATTGTACTATACTTGCAGATTCACATAAATAATACAAAATATAATCAATCAATCAATCAATAAATTAGGATGTATGATTACAGGTTAAGATACGATAAGATGGGGCATTCATCAGCTGCAACATTAAAGTGATGTACACTTTAATTTATGTATGTATATTATTCTCATATGGGCCATTCGGTATAATGATTACTCTTACTTTTGGTACTTTGCTGATACTGTTGTACTTATACTTTAGTACAATTTTGAATGCAAGAAGAAGAGATGATGTCTTCCTACAATTGTTTGCAGCTGTATATTTTTCAGGTGATGAGAGATATGATTAATGTTAATGTTGCTCCATGTCTGCTAGATGTATTAATGCATACTTTTGTGATGATTATTATAATAAAGCAAGCATTAATGTAGTGTGCCCACATCTCTGTCCTCCACTAAACTTACACATATCTTACAGCTGGTGCCCTGCATTCGGTCGTGGTTATCAACCCCACAACACAAACCGGGCACTTAACACTCTGGTCATGCCCATACACTCCCTTTAGCTGCCAGAGGAGGGAACACAGAGGCCTTCTGACAGTGTCCCACAACCTCCTACATCCTCACAGAGGGTGACAATATGGATACTTAATATATGGTATATAGTTTATGAGATAGATGAGTTAATGGGGAGCGCACGGTAGCTCAGAGAGAGTGCCTCAGTCCTTACCACAGCGGCCAGGGTTCGATTCCCTTTGCTGCAGGTCATCAACTCTCTCTCTCCCCCCTCTCCTGTCCATCTTCCCCTGTCCTATTAAATAAAGGCATAACAAGCCCCCAAAGCATCTTTAATAACATTTGATAGCCATAAAACACATTTGGAACAGATTATGAAGACTGATATCTTAAGAGTAGTGTTGGTACGTGTCAGTATAGTTTTTAATATTGACCACTAGAGGTCTCTAAAGTTCTGTAAATGAGTCAGTATATTATTATAGTATAATTATATGACACATATGTCACAAAGGAGGGGGTGTTGTATATTGAGTAGCAATGATGTGAAGATGTGTTGAAGAGAAGTCCGCTGACACCGTCTTGATTGTATTTAAAGGTTTATTACAAAAGTTCAGCATCAATACAAGCACCGCGGAGCTTGGAGAGCATCCAGCCAAATGAACAACTCTGTCTATTTTGCATTGAACATAGGTTTATATAGGTCTGTTGTTTACTCCAAAAATGGAAAGAAACATCTGGATTCAATCCAAATATGTAAGGTATAAAGGGGAGATGGGGAGTAGAGTTCAGAGGCCATTGAGAGGCCCCTAAAACATTCCATAGTAAGAATGATGTCATTGAACCTCATGAACTTCTAACACTACATATGGTAACAAAATATCATTTCAACTCATACCAAAATGTAATTTAACTTTATAAGCTTTAAGGTAAGCCTTCAGATACTACATATTTCCCCCTTGAGGCTGATAAAGTCTCGAAAAACAAAAAGCAAAACATACATGTTTAAACACTCGACAAAAATAACAATTCCTCCTACACATGCTTCTTACAGCATAACCTTAACAATACAGAAACTTTATGGAGTGCGAGGGCAAAAAACCTATCCGGCACTTTCTTTCCAAAGTATCCATCAAACAATCTAGACAGGAAAATTCTCCACGGCCCCTCTGCCTCAGGCGACCACACATAGTACTCCAAATCAATTAAAAGAAAAATCTTAACAATTTATTTAGAGATCTGGTTTAAGCAAATACATGTGAAAACCTCAGGAAATAAAATCAAAACAATGTCCAAAGTCAGGCTGGTCGACCCATCGTACCTTCCAATGGACCTGTCCCTGCCTAGACCCCAATATCCCTAAGCATCAACAAAAAAGAAAACATCTGAGGTCCCCATATATTTACCTATAACAGAAAACATCATTCTCCAAACAGTTAATACAAAAAGAATATGATACAAATGACGTATTACTCATGCAAATATGTATATATCAGAGAAGACATAAGAATGTATCACACTGCAGCTCCTCAGCAGTGTCGACTCTCAGTGTGTCGATGATGTGTCGAATCTGAACATTACATCACCATATCCTTGTTCAGAATTCTCCAGTCCATTCTTATTGTCCATATTTGAGTATCTGAATCCCTTCTGCACATTCCCCCAATATGTTCTGGAAGAAAAGAAAAACCAACCAGTATCTTTTGCAAAAACAACACATAAAAATTAAAACATAGAAATTACAAATTAATATAAAATCACAAATTAATATCATTTCTGTGTGTGTTTTGACCCTGGATCACAGGATCACACACACACACACACACACACACACACACACACACACACACACACACACAGTGTTTGATTTGGCACACCTGAAGCTACCGTTAGGTGGAATGGATGTGTTTACAGAGCACAGATGAACTAATATGGAAGATTAAAAACAGGAACTGAGCCTTATACTTCTAAAAGACATTGTTTCCTTATTGCTACAATAGTGTTTACCCAATAACATGTTTGAACATGTTTGTTAAGTAATTAAATATACAATCTCTAACATTTTGTTGCTGATTGGCACAGAGCTGGTTTACTGAAGGTGTTACATCTGAAGCTGTGTGAGAATGTGTGCTTTCCCTAATGGTGTGAGAACAACAAAATGGCATGTCATATTTTCCTACCACTGGATTTTTAAAATGATATAAATTCAGAGTTTTTTTTTGCAGGATTAGGACTGAAAAAAAGCCCCTGATTTTACCTTTTCTTTTAGAGTGATACAACAGTTTGGGGTCTGATGAACTGATCTTAAAACAAATCATACAGTCATATAGAATGGAAATAAAATAAATTTTAAACTATCTAAGAATAAATCACAATGCAGCTTTTTATTTATTGTGTATATTTAGGTCCTATTAGCCATCACATAACATCACATCAAGGTTAAAGTCCCTTAACCCAGCACCCAGCACTCTGCTTTACTCTTACCATCTGCTGTTTGAACACAGACCTAGATTCAAATAAAGAAGTTCAAAAAGCCTCTAACCGGCTCATTATTGCCATCTAGTGACAGGACACACAAACTACACCCTCCTCCTCAGAGAGTATCAGAACTGTTCTTCTTTTCAAGATCTAAAGCTGACAAATTTCAATTCATTGAATCAATTTTTTCCTCCTGTCGTCTTGAACCTTCTTTAACATATTCAATAATTTCCTTTAAATTGTTAAATTGTTCAAACTGTGGTTTTCCTGGTGACAGTAACATCCTTATGGCGGGTCTCTTTTACAGTACTGTACAGAAACAGGATTAGATTAGATGTATAATATTTTATCCAGAATGAACCACAGGCAAAGAAGGAATTGTGGTGAGAGGATTGCAAACACACACATGCAGTATATTCTGGACATGTGCTGTCCTAAATACATTTTGGAGTGGTTCTCCCTAGCTCTCTAGAGACACATTGTTAGTCATACCTGGGGTATTGCCTGGAGACATAAGAGAAAAAACATAAATACTCAGTGCTTGGCAGCTGCCAAAAAGCAATAACACTGAACTGGCTCAAGAAGAAACCTCCATCCCATGACAGGTGACAATAAATAATCTAAGCAATCTACTCAATTGGAAAAAATACCTTAATGCTGAGACTACAAAATGAACAATTACAATTTAAGTCAGTTTGGTTGAAGGCAATCTGGAGGAGAGTGGCTCAGGTGTGGTTCACCTGAGGGACAGGTAGTGGGTGGAGAGTTTATGGGAATCAAAAACAAAACAAATTTCCTGATTTTATGTTATTTTTCCATGATAATCTCATCAGGATGACTGATATTATTAGGTGAGGGTTGGGCAGGAGAGCAAGAGAGCAGATTGGACTGGGTGAACTGGAAGCATTGATGGTACTGGAACATAACCACGGAGTGAATGTTGACAGGGCTAACGAATGCTGGTAAAGAAGAAGTAAAGGTTCTGATTACTTCCTCCACCACTGGTGATGATCAGCAGTTTGTAGTACAGCATGAATGAAATGAAAGCCAGTGAGCTGAGGACAGAATTTGCGTTATGGGTTTAAATGTGTGGTTCCTGTAAGAATTATTGCAGCTGCACTTTGGAGCAATTTGAGTTTTTTGTGCTACTTTAAAGAAGACCTGAGAACAGCACACTACAATAGCCGAGTCTGGAGGAGATAAATGTATGAATGAGATATTCTGCATCTGATTGTACTGAAAAAAAAGTCAAAAGTGACCCCCAGAATGTAATTCTACACTGACAATAGTCTTCTTTCGACTTTGTGACAACACTTTGTGTTTGGCCCTCTCCTGTCAACATTAATGCACCCCCATGCACAAAGCCAAGTTTATAAAGTTTTTCCCAGTTTAGAGTAGAAGAACTTTCACAACTTCCACCACCTTTGAGGTGAACTGACACGCTGACTGCAAACCAGGCTTTATCGCACAGCATCAGTGCTTGACTTCACCAATGTTTATGTGACTGAATGGAAGCAAATCCTTGCAGCCGGATCCCAAAATCTTGTGGTAAGCCTTCCCATAAGAGTGGAGGTGGTTACAGCAGCAGCTTAATTCCCATGGTTTTGGAATGACATGTCCAACAATCACACAGGGGTCTACTGTTCAGCTGTCCACATAGTTTTGGTCATATAGTGCGTGTTGCCCTGTTTTGGAGTACTTTACAAAGTTACACCTTCACAAGTTTGACTGATTTCAGTGGTTATGGTGTTTTGATTTGCATTGTGCTGCAATATATTTTATGTTCCTCTCATTCATTCACATAGCAGACCACAAGCCAGTCACAACAGTATAACAAAGGGTCTCTAGCTGACCTGACCTGCCTCATTTATATGCAGTGTGTTGGGATAATGCCTCTCTGTGATTTATAATAATGGCTCAGTGTTTCTGAGTGTGTGGACGTTGCCCTCTCAGTCCACTTCACGAAGGGGAAGTGACTGGATTACATGCTAATCCCATTATGATGCTGCTGCTACGTGAGGGCCAGTTGGAGGGATTAGAAACTAAAGGCTCGAGCTTCAGGACAGAATCAGCGGCAAACAGGGTGACTGTAACTACTGACACTGATACAGACACTCATGGCACATGGAAACAGTTTGGATGACACCGCCACTGGGAGCATGTCTCTTTATCTGTCATCTGGAGATACACTGACAGGGTATGTATGGTTTGTTTTTATGATTTGAGGGTTTTGTAGTACTCAGCATCAGCAGTCTTCAATTGGACAGCCCAGGAAACGGTTGATGGATGATGACGCGCAGGAGGCAGCCAAGTTTGGTGTCAGCAGAGCAGTAAATTCACAGTATGTTATGGCAGGGTAACAACTATGTTTGTATGGAGTCTAGAAGGTGCCATCAGAAATAATGCTAAACATGTACAGTGTTTAAATATAATAAATTATATTAAAATACAGATTATTTAAAAAAAAAAAAACACATTGATTACATTAATTTGCATATAAACGATGCATCAATAAACTTACAAAAAATTATTAATTAATAATAAAATATTAAACTTAAATTGCAAACAAATACTTTTAAAAAGGGTTTTAAATTTGACGTTTCAGTATTTACAAATGTGCCAATCATATTACATCTTACTCGTCGTTTGTTTCTTGCTTTAACATTTACAATTTATTTTGTTATTGCTTGAGTCTAAAGAGAGGTTTTAAAGTTGTTCCACCAAAGTCCCACCTACAAAGCAGCAGCAGGAGCTGTTAATGGTCATTTTTGTCAGTTTATTAATTAGTTATAATGAAACACATGATATATTCATGTGGCACGCTGCAGTCTACATAACCTTGAAATTACAAAAAGTAAAAGTGAGTTTTTCACATCAGCAGGGACACATTGTTTTCTAGAAATGTTGACTGAGTTTGTGTATATGGTGGCAGGCAGACCTCGTGTAGCTACCATTGAGGGCACTGAGGTCAAGTCTTCGTTTCTGGGAACTGGGGGTTTTAACAACTAGAAGAGGAATTAACATTATATAATTACAAATTATGGGTTTTGAAGGCTAATTTCTGAATTCTAAATATCTCTAAATTTGACTTTTTATTCAAAAATACTCATTTAGAAAACAAAAATACAGTGATTTAGTATTTCTCACCAGAATTATATCCTGCCAGTGTGGAGAAGGCTTTGTAACAGCATTTAAACCATCATGTGGGAGCATAAAATGTATAGAAATTATAGTAGGACATTAAAATGAAGGAATAGAATGAGAAAAACGTTATGTCAAAATGTTCATATTTTTGTGGCTTATCAAAAATATCTTTGTTTGGAGTGACTTTATATTTGTAAAAGTACCCGTTTGAGGCTCTGTGTGGAAGGGAGACACTGACATATTTGGTACATTTTGCTCCTAGAATGAATTCTTTACCATAACTTCTGTTCAGTTCTGCTGTAAGAGATTCCTGTGTTACATCTTACTATCCTAAAACTGTCAATAATGACCGTAATAAGCAGTCAGATAAGAATTTCCTTGAAGAACAAATGAGTTCTTAGTAGACTGGCTTGCTGTTGGACCTTCCTGCTACATTATATGTGCATAAAACACCCAAAAATGTGTCCAATTTTCCCTGTAAAACACTAATCCACAAACATCCATATTTGAATCACTGCCCACATCTCTTTTTGTTCAGTGATTCAGAAGTAAATATGTCCAAGGAAACAAAAAGGCAGTTCAGTAAATATCAGACACAGGATTGCTTCAGCGATTAATGCAAATGTTAGCATACTGTAAGCATGTTGAATTTACTGTCAATAGGCTACTTAATTATATATTATTCCAGGCTTATTTCAGAATTTAATTCAGGTAAACAAACATATTAATCAAAGATTTTTTACCAGTGCACAAAAGACCTGACTTCAGTTCTTCCGAAAACCAGGGAAAGTAGTTCTCACTAATTCTAAAACACTTTATATCCAGTTTTATACATTTTATTTTCTGAAACCTGACATCTGTTATTATTAATATCAAGATTTTATATTTTCATTTTAAAAAAGAATGCAAATTTTCTGACAAAACAGACAAAAAACTCATTCAGACATTTGAAACACAAGTGAATGAACAAATAAAAATGGACTGAATCAATGAACAAAGTCATGAATTCACTGACTGAATAAAGCAATAAGAGAGAGGGGAGCAGGGTACGAAGGAGGAAGCAAGGAAGGAGGAATTGTCTCTAGATTAAATTAAATTAAGATAAAAACAAATTATTTTAAAAGAAATAAAATCATTCCTCTTGCTTTGGGCTGCGTTATTCCATTGCGGATTTTAATTAAGAATACAAAAAGAAAAATTTGAATTTCTGCAGCCTGAACGGAGACCCCATAACATGAAAGGAAAACTGTTTTTTAGCTCTTTTCATTAAAGTAATATGACACTTGCTGAATTAAACATTTTTCACTCAAGTACAGAAAACTAATATCCTGAAATATTCACACTCTTACAGGGGTCTGCTGAACATTTTGTCTTTTAGGACGGAGCTGCTGACGACGGTGTGCTGCCAATTTTGGAGAAATGACCAGTGAGACAATGATTAACCTGGCTGCCAACGAGGGTGTATGTGTGTCACTGTCAGAGGTGTCAGTGTCAGTGTGTGTGTACATGACAGGAGGTGAAAGTCTGGATGACGGACATAGATAACAAATAAAGCAGAGCATTTGACATAGACAGAGCCGAAGGACAGAGACAGAGAGACAATATGCAGGAACACAGACTGTGACAGTGTTTTTTCTCCTGCATTATTGCTGTTTTGAGTGGATAGTCTTTTGTAATAGGCAGTAAATCAAACTCACAAGGATTGTATTTCATCTTAAAAAGCATTTGTTCTAAAAGTGTTTTCTGGCTCGCTTGGTCCAATGCAGCCTGCAGAGTATAAGTGCCATTTACAAGTACAGCAGCAGCAGCAGCAGCACACAAGCTGCGACTATGTCAAGGTCTGAGGAAGCAGTCAGAGTCTGATAGAGCAAGAAAAAAAAACATTTTTTTTTCTACTGGAGAAGCGGGAACAGGTTCAACAGAAATACCAGTGGTGAATACAATCTGTACAGGCTGCAGGCTCTACCTCCTCATCCTCTGCTCCAGCTGCAACTTCAGCTCCTGCAGCAAACGAACATAATCAAATCCTCAACTAGTCCAGCGTCTGGCTCCATAACCTGCGGCAGTCTCAGGTAATGCATAAGTGGGCTGTGTGTGTGTGTGTGTGTGTGTGTGTGGTAATGTATTTTCAGGTGACAAGATGTTTTGAGTCTATGAGGTATTCAGCAGACACAATAATGTTAACACCTCAGGAAATGCATGTTAAGTTAGAATTAATACAGTTATTTTCTATTAGAAAGATGGATGTGTTGGCTTGAATGTCAATTAGGAGCATTTGAATGAGGTCTGGCAAACAGCACTTGAGTTTTCAAATCAACATGAGACGATTAACAAAAGAGTTTCAAAAGAGGCAAATCATCAGCTGCACTGGTCAAAAACAACGCAAAAATCTGGGGAACAATCTGGAAAATAAACACATACTGCACCAAAAAGGAAGAAGACTGGTCAAATACTACCAACACTAATATGACATGCAACCTATGTGACCTGCTATTGTGTCAGCTTGCAAAATGGTCATTTAGTTGTCCACAGTTAAGGTCATTTTTCATAAAGTATTGATGTTAATTTGACCACTCAGTCTTCTTCAGATGAAGCCTGGTTTGGGTTGAAACGTAGTACTGTAGTTTGTTGGGGTTGTTTTGGCTTATTAACTCAGTCCCAGATGGACTTTGCCACATAGAATTCCCTGAACACAGATAATACCGCCTTAACGTCAAATTGTACCGTAAAATGAGCAGCCAAGCCAAGCAGTTTAACCTTTCACATCAATCTATTAATCTAGTTGTAAAGTAAAAAAAGTAAGACAAATTCAGAGATAACAGGAGTTTCTGACGGATCATGATAGAACATCTCCCATGGCATAAAGGTTTACAAAAGTACCAACAAACCAGTGGCAAAATGGCTGAAACCCACCTTTTGCTAGCAGTTAAAACACTACCACAGTTGGTTCAGTTTATTTAAAAGGAGCTAGTGTAACACACCGCACTGTTTGTATGTGATTTCACTTGTGAACAAGCGACTAAAGTTAACTGTAGTAGTTTGCTGACATGATAAAAATCGCTAACTTGAAGTATTTTTCTAGTGTGGCTAGGCTAGTGGGAATATGAACCGTCCCAAGTCAGAAGAATGGGAGGTATTTTATGTTCTGTTATCCAAATAAAATGAAATGAATTAATAGTAAAATAAACTTTTGTCAGCCAGCAAACAAGCTTCTTTTTTGTAAGCGAAGTGTATCACGTTGTTGACCTGCTTGACAGTTACAGAGATAACAAAACAAACAGTTGTTTGTTCAGTTTAGCATTGAAGTGAGCGTTCAGGTGGCTAGTCATAGCAGCTGTTCAACTAGCCCGTTTGAGAGATAGCGAGCTAACAAAGCTGAATACCAGTAGCTCATTCAGGTTAGCTAACCTGAAGCTACAATCTGACAGATTTCTAAGTAACTTAAATTTAGAGAAACATTTATCACTATTTGGAACATGACTGGAACATTGACAGACAGAAACAACAAGGCCCTGTAACATCAGGTTATGCTCTCATCCCAGTGATTGATAGATATCATGCCATTATTGCACATCATCACATTGGTCGTATGAGGGTTAAAACACTGTGGATGGAATATTACATTTGGGTTTAACCTTGAAAGATTGACTTTGACTGACGTGAAGGATGGTATTTATGACTTGAATGTTGATATGAAAGCTATTTTATAAGTCAGAAACTCCAATATGACCATATAAAGTACACCCATCTGCTGCAGACAAATGATTCTGTATAGGTTCAGCAGGAGCTGATGCCGCTGTGTCAGGTTGTTTATCTCCTCTGTGTGTTTGCATTTGGGTCTCCTCTATCACAGTTGTTGCCATGGCATCAGCAGCTCTGGAGCTGATGGGCTTTTTCTTGGGCTTGCTGGGGATGCTGGGGACCCTGGTCGCCACAGTGCTCCCGTACTGGCAGATTTCTGCCCACATCGGCTCCAACATTGTCACGGCCGTGGCCAACATGAGGGGCCTGTGGATGGAGTGCGTCTACCAGAGCACAGGGGCCTTCCAGTGCGAGACCTACAACTCCATGCTGGCTCTGTCCTCCGACCTGCAGGCCTCTCGTGCCCTCATGGTCATCTCCCTGGTGTTGTCTACCGTTGGCATTGCTGTGGCGGTCCTGGGGATGCAATGCACTCTCTGCTTGGAGGGCACGGGTGCAGTTAAGAGTCGCGTGGCGGGCACTGGCGGGGGCCTGTTCCTTGCTGCAGGTTTCCTGTCACTCATACCAGTGGCGTGGACCACACATGAGGTGGTCCAGACTTTCTACCGACCCAACCTACCTGCCAGCATGAAGTTTGAGCTGGGGGAGTGTTTGTATGTCGGTCTGGCCTCTGCGCTGATCTCCATGCTGGGAGGGGGGATGCTGTGCGTCTCATGCTGCGAGGAGCAGGACGGCGGGCGTGGAAGACGCCTCGGCGGGGGGTATCCATATCCAGTCGGAGGCGGCATGCCGGGCGCAGGTGTACGGACAACCTCACAGACCTACCGCAACCCCACCCTGCAAGTGGGGGGCATCCACGCAGCCAGCAGGGGGCAGATGCTGGTCCGCAGCACCAGTGGCAGTTCCCAGCTGAGCACACATGAAACGCAGGGAGCCAAGAAACCCACCGCAGCAGGATATGACATCACAGGATATGTCTGAGGCTACTGTCACTCCATCACACCTTTGTGTAAAATGTGTAACTGTAGCAAACTATTTTACAGTTTTGTCTCTGGGAATGTTTGATCTTTTCCTTACGACTGCACACGTTTCTAGGCGGAAGATGTCATACATTTCCACTACTTTGATAGCAACTCATCTATTATGTAGAAAAGCCATGAAAATGAGCAGCAAACTACACACACAGATGAGCTGAAGATGACTTCAAAATACCCCTTGATCGTGTTTATCATTTTCATAACACATGGCTGGATCTGTCTGTGAAACCAGGTGCTTTGTGTGTGGATGCCTGGCAGTGTCTCAGTCTAGAAATGTATATTCGCAACATTTGTGAAAAATATAACACATTTGAGGGTGTTCACTGCCTCACTGCCCCGTTTTAAAATGTGTTTTTTTTTAAGCCACGCCTAAAGGTTTGGTGCCACATGGTGCCTGTTGACAAAGTACAACATGTTATGATTGGAGGTGCGCTTTCACAAATACATTTCCAAAGATCCAGATTACATTACAGACATTTGCGATCATCTTAACCTCAGCTGCCGTGTTCTTTCTCTACATAAAGCCAAGCAGACACTCACTATTGTAAAGAAAATAAAAATAAAAAGTGTATTTTAACGGCAACGTATGTCAAATTGATTGGTTGGTGGGGAAATGCTTGGATTCTTGGACCGTTTAAACATTCTGACATTCAGTTGATTTTTGGTAACTCTTCATTATTTGGACAGTCCAGTGTTGATACTCATCTGTGAATACTACGCAACACATTACAGTCTCTTTATTGACAGTTAGTTGATACTCTAGTGGACTGCCCAACATGAAGAGTAGCCAAATCAAAATTCAATTGTCTTCCTGATGACAATTCAGAAAGCTGTTTTCACATTGATTAATATTGTGCCTTATTATTGCTATCATAGTGTGAAAACGTGTTGTGTGTTTGGGTTGAGCAGCGGTGGCGGTGAAACCAATTGTGGTCTTTTTGTTTCATTCGCCCTCGGTTGATTGTTCACGATGGCTGATGTTTTCAGGGATGTATCTACTGAACATAAAAAGAACCTTTTGTCAACTTGTTCAAGCCAAGCAGCAGAAACTGTTTCTAGTTTGTTCTTTATTTGGAAATAAATGTTAACTTTTCTTATTGTCGTTTGTTGAATCTTTGCCACCCAAAACACTACATTATGCAACATTATACAGCATGACATGATTGTTAATGTGTATAGATAGCTGCATTAAAAAATGAGCCCAATAATTAAGAATAGAAGGGAGGATTTACATTTCTGCACACTTACTGTATGTTTGCAGTGCATTCACACTGGAAAAATTAAAAGTCAGCCATCATGCCAAAAATGTTTAATTTCTGAGTGTGGTGTTGATGGGAAATATTGTCCAAAAATGCAATATGGACAGACACAAGAGAAGTTGTAGGTGTTGCTGAGATAGCTGCAGAAATATCAGAAAAAATGTTTGAAATTGTTTCCCTTGAGACATTTAAGTCTGTATTGTAGAAGAATATCTTAAAAACAGAACTTTTAAGGTGCCGCATAAGCATACAGTAACTGGCACATGCTGGCTGTTTTATATAGTCGTTGTTAATGAATAAAGACTGAGGTGAGTTTCTGTGTTTTTACAGTGTAGGATGAGAAAAAGATCACAGCCCTGAACTGAAGGCAAACAGAAGATGGACACAAACAAACCTAAACAAACAAAGTTCAGCAAACTACTTCAGTCCGATCAATATGCAGCTTCAGTTTGACTTACAGGGGGATCGTGAGACCGAAATGCACACGATAACTGGGTCAGTTTACAGTCAAACAATTTGTGATAACACATCTGAGATTTTGTCGCATGAGTGACTCAAAACATAAAAGTACATTAGGTAATGACTGGATCTTGATCCTCTTTCAACTAGCAATCTGAGGTACTGGCTCCTCTCCAGCAGAGCAGGTCTTGGGTCTGTGAAACCTTCTCTGAGTCTGGGTCTGAGAGGACTTGAGAACAGTCTAGAGGTCAGAGCTTGAGCATTTTATATTACTAAGGTAATTAGCATTGTAGGACTCCATACAGACCTTTATATACGTCTGTGTGGTCTTTATGTGCATTGCCGTCAAACAGCAAATTAAACATGAAGGTGCAGTTTTTTGCAGACCAGTAAAGATCTTTAGTCCTTTTCAGAAAAATACTGCAGACCACAATCCCTGGTAGTCTAGTCCAGAGGGGAAACTGGAGTCCGGTCGGGATACTGAACTGGTTCAACCAACAAGCACCTGACCGAGAGAACACCAGAGATAACCGAGGACACGTGCACACACACAGTTTGGGACTGCAGGGGAGACAAACACAGTCTCAAAAACATAGAGTTGATGATCCTGAGCACCGTTTGTCGCAGCGGTGTGTGCAACCAGCAGAGCCACGTCAACGTTTCCTTGTGCACCGGGGAGATTCAGATTTTTAGAGGGTTTAGACGAAATAAAGGTCAACAAACACCCAATAAAGCAGATTTTACCACTGCAGTAAACTGATACAATTCTAATATTGTTATTACAATTAGATCGGAATAGCATGGTCACTGTATGGCTTACATTTTCTGCATGGGAAATAATAAAGCTATAGTTAGTAAAACTATCCCAACACAGACTCATTTTAGTTTCTTTAGGAAAAAGTCTAGTTTAGTCCTCAAATATAAAACTTTATAGAAAAATAATCAACTTTTCAATGCATGCGAAAAACACACAGAAAGTTCATGCAAGCTTTGATTTCTTGTTTGACAACTAATAATGCTACAGCAATGTGAGCAGTGTGAGGATAGAAAGTAGGATGAGGAAACAAATAAACAATAAGAATAAAGAAACGTACGAGTGCCGTTGTGTGGCCAAGTCTCCTTTCAAAAGCAGACTAATCTGTAACGACTGAATGGCTCCATCTAGTGTACAAAAGAAGAACGACAGCGAATTTTAACCGAGGAGCATAAAGGGCGTTTCAACTGACCTTCATGTTTTACGCTGCAGTGTAGCTGGTTTATATGTAGACTGATTGTAAGTCTGTGTGTATTAACCCAAATGAAAACTGTATTTTATATGTATATTATGTCTATTTTTGTAGTGTTCTTTATATAAGCAAACAAGCAGTTCTGGGCCCATTCATTCATGATATCGAAGTGCATCCCTGACTGAATATACACGCCTGCATTTGTAGATTACATAATTAATATGATTACGACGAAGTCAAAGGGTTCAGTGTCTGTCTGTCTGTCTGACCTGCCTGCTGACCTGTTCATATTGTAATTTGTTTTTTATTACATTATGTTAAAGCCTGCTTGCTTACATTGTCATGAGTCCTGTTTGATCGAGCTGACAATAAAAAGGTTACTTAAAAATAATAAGTTACTGCAACATGAGAAACCTCACAACACACAGCGGTTTAGGGAAAATAACTGGCATTTATTAATATGAAACATGACCTTTAGTCAAGTAAAAATAAATAATATACAGTCACATTCATCTCAGCCTGTTATTCTCTCTGGAGGATCCATGTTGTCGTCTGCAAACATTTCTTATTTCTTCTCCTCCTGCTCCTTCTTGTCCTTCTGTTTCTCCTCTTCCTGTCGCTCACGGCCAAACTCAACCACTAAAGGTTTCCCTAGCAACCGGTATCCATGGACCAGCTGCAAGGCTTTCTCGGCTGTTTCAGCATCTGCCAGAAGAAAACAAATACACTTAATAACAGATCTAAGGTGTAATGGAAAGAACACAGCTTAGATCATTACAGCTGCTGGTCACTTTGGTCCAGAGTGAAACGGATTGCCGTCAGACCTGTTACACACCATCGCGACCAACAATTATTTTTTTCACCCCTTGTACGTGAGAAACTGCTTCTCACCTGGCAGAGTGATGAAGGCTTGACCCTTCATCCTTCCAGTCAGCAGGCGGTAAAGGACTGGCGGCCCATTTTCCTGCTCGTACCTGGAGAACAGCGCCACCAGCTGGGCCACAGACGCCCGTGCACACAGGTTCTTTACACACAGCACCTACAGTGATACGGACAACATCACACACACTTTCAGTACCACAGACATGAAACGTACACATCCAAAATCTTAACTTATTATTTTACCTCATGTCCTACCACTGTCACACTGTATATCTAATGTTATGAGGGTGTGGTGCAGATGTGCCAGTATACAACAACCATCATCCTTTTCTTCTGACAGACTGAAACAAGTCCAATTTATGAGTCAGTGCTTGTTAAATGACTGTGAGAGGATTTATTTCATTTTAATGCTTCATTTGCAGAGCATCAACAGTCTCAGTGAGGTGCCCATATGACCATTCAAATTGTTTGTTAATAATACGCAATTATTCCCCCTGTTGATACTGGCCATCAGGGTCCATTCCTAAAGCAATTTCAGTGGAAGTGACGGGGGACAAAATCAACAGCCCTCAGGAGAGGGTCACAATGGACACATCACATCCACTGACCAGCCTGTCCTCACTGGTGCCCTCTGCTAGAAGATACAGGGTTCATAAATCATGCAGCTGCAACTAATGATTATTTTCATCAGCGAAGTCAACCAATGTCAATTCATTGATTAACTGTTTGGCCTATAAAATGTTAGAAAATGCCCAAAGCCCAAGGGGATGTCCTAAAATCTTTTCTTTTTCTTAGTTTTGCTCGCAACCCAAAGTTTCCTGTCATAGAGGACTGAAGGAACCAGGTTCATTAACCCTAAAGATCACCTGGTTTACACAGTAACAAGATGTAGCTGGTAGATCTAGCTGTTAGTACCTTGGAGGGTTTCCCCGGCTGGTAGTTTCTGAACCTCGGAATGCTCCGGATCCCTTCTTCAGATTCACGGTTCTTCAGGATTTCTTCGTCTGAGATGGTCTCAATCTCCCCTCTGACAGTCAGCGGACCCCCTGACCTCGGCGTCGCCGCTACGCACAGACTGCCGATTGGCTGGCTTATATCTATCTGCGTTGGAGCAGCCAGTGGGGGTTTACCCGGTCTGTTCGGCTGCTCTGAGGTGTCTGACCTCGACTCTGGCAGCACTGACCAGCTGCTTTTCTCACCCTGCAGTTCAGATTGACCGTCAGAAGCTTCTTTTGATTGGCTGTTGCCTCTCTGCGAGTCATGTGATTGGTCAGATACAGTTCTGTGTGTAGGCAGGTGTGATGCTCCACTTGTTTCTCTCTGAGAGTGCTGTTGTGAAGCTTGTTGTCTCCCCTTCATGAGAACATCTCTGTAGAGAGAGTCCATTGGATCAGACGACGACGACTCCCCCTGCTGGCCTTCCTGGTTATCTTCGTCTGTGAGCAAAAATACAACAACAACACAATTGAGATGTTATGACACACACTTAAGGGACATGACAGTAACTGTATTCCTCTCCTCTGTGCTGTTGGACAGTTTTATTTATCCTCCTGTTTTCCTACTTTACTCATTCTATTAGAAAAGTCTATGTCATGTTCCAAACTTTTCTCTCCTGTGATCATTGCAAAGATCACAGGACATTGGATTTCAGTGATTATATGGCATATTTTGGGGAAAATCTGAAAAATAACATCATTAAAAAGTCAGTGAATGAAAGCTATGTTGCCAATCAAAATACAGGCCAAACAGCAACTTATTGAATTCCACACTAGCAGTTGCATGAAGAAACCACGACATATTGAAGACTTCTAAAACTGAACTGGAGATTATGGAAGGCTATAATTTGAGGCCTGTAGATAACATCATTTTATCTTTCTAGGAACTTTGTTCTAAAGCTGTTCATGAAACTGAAGTCTACTTTAATGTTAAGAGTTTCTGGGTCAGAAGAACTGTTAAATGACTGAAATGTGACAGCAAATGTGTCTCTCTATTACTCCTTCTGACATCTCTTTTATCAATTCACCGTTTTGTCATTACAAAATGTTCAGCATGTCCCTCATCGGTCGGCGGACCCTGTTTAGTTGACAGCACTCTGTACCTCTGTGGTAAAGCGCAGTGAGGAAACCCAGGCGATCATTCCCCTGGAATAGCGCTCGTTCGATCTCCATCTCCCGGCGCGACAGAGGCCGGCTGGCGGCGAAGCGCTGTGGGCGGGACAGGAGCTCGGCCCTGGCTTCAATCTTGTCTCTGATCACCTGCAGGCGCTGCTGCTTCGCACCTGGAGCTGCACACACACCATGGGACTGTTTGGGCACGCAGCCGGGAGACAGACATTAGTGTGAAATCTGGTTTATATTAACAGTTATACGTTTAAATGTTTCAGTAATGTGTTGCTTAATATTGTGTGTAAGTATCAGCTGTCACTTTTGGAGATTTGGAATAATTACATTTGTATGTATGTGGCTACATTTAAAGAATTAATAAACAGATCATAAGGATGTAAATAAAATGAGTTCGACCTCTATTTCTAAGGTTTTTTTTGGCCTTACACTACGAGTAAATTTAGGGTTTCCAATCCATGCGACCTGAATGTGTATCGATTAAGAAAACAGGAGGAGAACATCCACGCTGTTCTGCTCCACCTCTCCATCGCCAGCAGGTTTTACCTTCTCTGGTGCATCTCTGCTCTGCCACAGCTGGATCTCGGTGTCGGTCAGGCCCAGTTCTCGCAAGCTGGCCAGCTCCTGCTCCCCGTCCTGCAGGGCCTGGAACTGGGACAGACTCCTCACTCCAGCTGCCTGTTCCCCAAACGGCCGGTAGAGTGCCGACGGGGCGAAGCACTGCCTCTTGGCTACACATCTGTAGGACAGGATGTGTTTCAAAGGGAGATCTAAGGCTTTTTGCAAACACATTTTGATTCAGTCAAAGTCTCACAGCCTAACTGTTGTTTCTGATGTTTTACAGAACTGACTGATAAAAGGACGGCTGAGTAAGAATATGTAGCCCTGAGGGTTGTGTATAAAACATCCTCCAGGCTGCTCTGTGGGACACTGGGAAGGCAACATAACAGCATTTTCTATAAAGCACAGAGAGCTCTGGAGGGAATAAAGCTGCAAACACTGCTGTCTTTTCCCACTGAGCTGCTCAGGAAGGTTTTATTAACACTGCTTATTGTTGTTTTATAGTCGCTGTGTGACGTCAAGGGAGAGGTTAACCATAATCTGTATTTGAATAAAGCTCTGGACAAATATTTTTGGAAGCAACAGAGCCAACACTTTAACCCTGTGTTTAAAAATCAAACTGATCATCATACAGATTCCTGTTTTGAGGGAGGAATTTGATTGATTATTATTATATATTATACAGTTAAAATGTATGCCATGGAGAATGGCTATAGCTTTTATCTGCTAAATTGAGCTGAATTAAACGAAAAAGAAAATATTTACGGAAATTATTAATGGAAGTGTCAGAATATATAAATACTAAATAGGCTTTTACTATTTGTAAGGTCAGATATTGCCTTATAGTAGCTAGAGTTTTATGCTACTGTCAAGATCTATCTTCACTTGAAATCTACACATTTTACTACAGAATATTTTTGCGTGTTAATTGTCGGGTATTTTTAACAGAATGTACTGTGACATTGGTCCCACTGTGCTGACAACATTAAGCAAGAGCTTGTATCGTGGTATATTTTGTATCTACAATTTGTCCCGACCACAGTGGGTGTTTGCATGACTGCGAGAACAATCTAGTTGGCAAACAAAGAATGTGGCCATAGGACAAAATATAGTGCTAGACTGTAAATCCATATGGAAACAAAACATTCCCATAGTTTATTATCAGGGAATGTCCGTGGAGGCTTGGACTGAACTTTCTCCACACATTCTAATGTTGTGTTTTTTAATGTCGGACCCATCTTCTGGAGATACAAAGACAGAGAGAAGAAAGTTTCTGACCGTTCGATGTCAACGTCAGTGTGGAGCTGCTGCAGCAGGAGGCTGTGAAGCTGCCGCTGGCCTTCCGTCTCCTGCTCCTCCAGCAGCGGGCCGTCCTCACAGGATTGCCGGCTCACTCTGGCCAACACAACACAAAGACATCAGCTCAGACACTGATGGTGGATGCTTATACAACAGTAGGAAAAGGACACATCCACAGCCATCAACAGAGTGTTACTTTCAGGTTCTGCCCTTTGGTGGTGGCAACTAACTATTATTTTCATTACAGATTAATCTGCCAGTAATCCGTAGATTACCGATGAATCTGATGATCGTTTTTTCCTATAAATCAAATAACTGTTTTTTTCCCCCCACTAAAAGTTCAAAGCCCAAAGACATTTAGTTTAATCACAAAAAAATGACTTACATGATTAAAACATGATCAAAATAGTAGCCAATTGATTTTGTTTATAGAACAATCACTGGATTGATTGATTGATTATATAACATATTTCATTCTTACACTGTTTATACTGAGGTAAGGATCTCTTTAAAATCCTTAGGTGTATGAAGCCTTTACAGACAATGTTTCACATCAATATGGGATTTACAGGATTTCTGCATCAATGTCTTTAAGTAATTTAATTCTTAAGGTGTTTAACACTGTCAAACACATACATTCCCATCTTTTATTCTATTTATAAACACAGAATTAAATGTTAAATAATGGGAGATTTTATCCACATCGCCCAACCCAACTCCTGTCCAAAGTGAACTAAAGAAAAGGTGTAACCTAGAGAGCTGTGCAGTGGGAATACATTAAACTCCATGTGTTTTTCCAGGTTGACATTAAGAAAAATCCCAGTAAGGAGCCAGTGAAAGGTTTACAGACCACCTTAGCGTTAACTGGCTTTAGAGAAACAAGGAAGAAGGTTGACGTAACGTAGTGTTTTACTTCTTTCCTACTCCCTTTCGGACATGATAATAATAATAATAATAATAATAATAATAATAATAATAATAATATGTATTTATGTTGTTTATTTGTTGTATAGTTAACTGTTATGTGATTATCTCCAGGGGTAAACTGGAGGAGCACAGCAGCCAGAGACAGACGGAATGTGTTAAGTAATGAGTGTATAGGTTAATAAAAAGTACATTTCCAGTTTAACAGTATCTTAAAATAAAATAAAAACACGACAGCAACAGAGTAGCTAACGCAAGCTTAGCTTGGCTGTAGCTATCTCCATGACAACGGCGTCACCTGCCTGACGTAAAGGCGACGCAACGACTTTAAACTGGTATTTTCTGGTGACACTGGTGTCGAAGCAAGTCTTAAAAACCAAACCAGTTTGATTCCAGTGCCACAATTACTCTAAAACCACTGGAACAGCACACCGACGTCTGAAAGGTTTTGTTTACCTTCGCATGTTTCCGCCTTCCTTGTACTTCCGGTTCCGGCGTGTGGCATCACGGGAAATGTAGTAGAATCCGTCACATGAACAATAATAAACTAAAAAGATAATGGCACATGTTAGATTTGGTGCATTTTAATGTGAAAATAGAGACATTTGTATTATATGTAGTGCAGGAATAATAATAATAATAATAATAATAATAATAATAATAATAATAATAATAATGCTAATTGAAAAGCCTGTTAGGTAAACAGATGGGTGTTTCTTTAACTGTACTTTCTGTTCATACCAGAGCCAACCTCAATGTGCTGCAGGCATATTTTCTGTCATTAAATATCTTATAAATAAAAAACACATAACACTCTTTCAAGAGCCAAACTCCGCTTCATTAGAAAGGGTGTGGTTATAAAACACCCGTGTTTCATCAAACTTGGCTTGCCTTCCCTCCATCTAGGCCTATACGAGGCGGGTTTTTTTTTTATTTTATTCTATCAAACGTAATGCTGCAAAGCCTATATAGAAACCGCTCCTACCCTGCCCACCCAGCTTAAGTGTCCTCAATTAGCCTGCTGGGTGACGTCAGTAAGGTGACATGGGTGCCTCTCTTCACCATCTCTGAGCAATAAGCAGCCCGCCGCTGCAGCATGCCACTAATAGATGGGGGGGGATACATGGATGCGAGCAGAGCCGTGCTGGTTCGCATGCAGCTGACATCGGCCATGCATTAGTGCGCGGTTCTGCAGCAGCTCCTCTCCTCCTCGCTCGCCTGCCTTGCAGCCGGTGTCGGGTCGCCGGCAGCTCGGCTCCTCTGCAGGGCTGCAGGGCTGCGCAGCTCCTGACTGACAGAGAGATGAGGGGTGGGGACGCAGGGTGGGGTCACAAGCAGGGAGAGGCGGAGGAGGAAAAGGCAGAGAGAGAGAGCCCAGCCCTTGAATACACGGCAACAACACGCCGTCAGAGAGAGGGAGAGACACACAAGAGAGACTGGCTGTTTTTTGGGGGGAGCAAAGGGAGTCTTCGACGCTGCGGATATGAACTGAAACAGAAACACTGGAAGAGGCAGGGATCGTGTTTCCTATATCCCGAAAATTTACTGTAAAGGTGGAAAACTAGCACCCCCCAAAAAACCCTCCTCTCTCCCTAACAGGTCTTATTCAGATAGAGCTACACCCAAAGCCCCGACCGACCCCCTCCTGCTCCTGCTGCTCCACCCCTCCGCCGCTGCACCGCTCCGGCAACCGAGATGCACACGGAGACCCGTAACAAGAAAGTAAGTGCACGTTATTGACTTTGCCCTGGTCAATGAAAAAAAAAAAAAAAAAGAAAAGAAGAGAGAGAGAGAGAGAAACATCTATCTGCGTGGATGATCTGCCTGTACACAAGCAGAGCTGACATTGTCATGTGCCAAATATGAATGTCACTGAGTATATTCGTATAGAAGAGTCAGCTGCGAGTGGATCCCTGCAGGCAGGGCAGTTTATTTTGCAATTAGTGGAAGAGTTTTGTAACAACGACCTCATTGCATTGCAAGAACAGCACGCTGAGAGCGCTGTCATTTCCACGGTTTATACGGAAACCTCTCTCTCTCTGCCTCTCTCTCTCTCTCTCTCTCTCTCTCTGTGTGCGAGGTTAATTCAGGTTCAATTTTAAATGCTCTGTGATCTCTGAGAGGCAGGAAGGAAACGGAAGGCAGAAACTGCAGCTTGTAGGACACCATCTTAGCTTTTAAAGGGCCAGCAGCCCCCTGAAACACACACACACACACACACACACACACACACACACACACACACCCCTGGGAAGCAGCCAGGTGCACTGCCTCCAGCTACACACACTGCATGGGCCCTGCTGCCGACTTGTGCCTTTTAAATGAGTCTTTGCCTCATCAGGGTATGTTTATGTGTCAGTCAGGCTGGCATACTCCTAAAGTAAATTCAATCTGGCGGGTGATCAGACTGTTGAGCTGAAAGCAAACACCAGTGTCCACTCTGCAGCTCCAGATCTGTCTGCTTGATGGTTTTCGCAGCAGATGATGGAGACAAGTTTCAGTTTGGCGCACAACTTCCTCAAGTTCCTCAGATAAAGGACGTGAACTTTGACCTGCGGATTTGCATGGTCCGACTAATAGTGGCGATTGTGTCTTGTGTTTGAGCATGGATTTGTTTAATGGAGTCCACTTGCAGACCGCACACTGCAGTATCGCTCCTGCTCTGTTGGTCATTTTATGATGTTTGTTAACTTCACTTTTGCTCTGTTCCATATTTTGTGCGTTGGAGCATTGGTGACATCACATCAGCGTGGAGTGGGGGTCAATTTTGTTGACCTGAAGACAGGTTTGACCTAATCGTCACTCTACTGGGGCTACGACTACCCATATTTTCCCTATCAATTATCAAGTTTGTTAACATAAAATGTCAGAAAATAGTTAAAAACGTCCATCACATTCTCCTGAAAAGTCTTAAAATTGCACAACCAACAGTGCAAAACCCAAAGATATCCAATTCATAGTGATATTCAACAGAGATAAGAGTTAAATCCTTACGTTTAAGAAGCTGCAACCTGAGTGTGCTTCATAAATAATGTTTTTAACGATTGCTCTTATTAAAATTCATTAACTGACAGCAGTTCCAGTCTTACACTCCACTGAAGTAAAGTTTAAAGTTTGCAGCCTGCAGCCATTTGTATGACATTGCTCACAAGTTGCAGGCGATGCTGGTATAAATTACTTGGTGCAGGCGTTTGTCTAATAAGCCTCTGCAGGCGTGGAAGCCAGTTGTGGCCGTTCGGTTTGGTCCTCCCCTGCAGTTGTGTGGACACATCGAGTTTATTGACTTCAGAATGGGATGTAATATACTTGGGCGGCTTCCCAAAAGCTAACGGCTCATTCTGACACCATAATAGTTTACTAGATTTACTATGCAGATCCTTTGCACTGCTTTGCACCAACCCTGAATTTCACACACTTTTCTCTATAAATCTCTCTTTTTTTAGGGTATTTCTACAGACAAGTTGGCGATTGTTGTGTTATGTCGACTGTTGTTGTATTTGCTGGGTGGTCAGTAGACTGTAAAATGGAAGTAATAGCCAACATTGTCAAGATAACAGGGACAAACCTGTCTCAGAGGTATAACTGCTATGGAAGTTGTAATAGGTAATCTCATCAGTGGTGTGAAACCAAAAAGAGCCAATGTTCCAGTAAGGTTCCCTAACTGGCAAAGATGACTAAAACAGAGATGGAAAGGATGTTTCATCAATTCAGAAAGTTTTCTTCCTTATCTAGATAGCCAACACCACGGGTTAGTGCTACTGGTCTTCATCATATCTCTTAAATATCACATTTTTTTCCACTGAGCTTCACCAGAGCAGCTCCGCCTCCAGGTAAAAGTGGTTTAGCAGAGCTAGCGAGCTAGCTGTACCCTGTCTTAGTTTCTCTTTTGTAAAAATCTGTATGAAAGGTCAAAGTACTTTGGGCTCCAAGGCAAACATGTGACTCATTTGCTCAATGAAGGGCTTTTAACTGAAAGTGGAAACCAACAGATCTATCTGTAGCCTTGTGACTGAAGAAGACCGCTTTTATCCCTACGCCGCATAACCCTGCCATTTTAAATGTAGTAACCACAGTAAGTCACTTTCATTTGGCGAGGTGTTGTCATGACTACTCCTTTACAATTATAATAAGCCTCAATGACTCCATTAGATACAAGAGGGGCATTTATGATATTATATTGCATGTCAGTAACCCAGGCACTGCATATGAACACCAGCACAGTCACAGTCCATCTGCAGAAATGTGCAGCAAGTATCGCACTGGAACACTTAATCCTCTGTAGGTTTCAAACACAGTGGAAAGGGTGCAAGCAGAGCACTGAGCACAGAGCTAACTGCTACATGTTGGTGTTACGGCTGCACAATTGATCGAAATTGTAATTGCAATATGGCCAAATTCAATATTCAAATAGTGGGAACTGCACACTTTTGATAAAGGTAATATCCAAAACAGCATTATAATGAAGTACTGTAGAGCTGCAGAGTTGCTCTGGCCTACAAATCTTATTATCCAGATGCAAAAAAACATGATTGTTGGGTCCTCACCCAAAGGTTTCTACAGTGAAAGCGAAAATGATACAGAAATTGTAATTCCTACTAATCATGAGTCATATTGCAATTGTAATAGCTGTCGCAATGTAATTGTTTCAGCCCTAGCTAGTGTTTTTTCCTGCTACCTTTGAGTCTAAAACACATTTAAAACCAAAAGTTGAAGCAGCAGGATTGAGGGAGGGGAAAAAAAAGGCTGCTTCAGTCGTGGCAAACACTGGAAGAAGACATAGATGTGTTTACCAGTTGCAGGCAGCAGCGTAACTTAAAGCGGCTGAGCCTTGCAAGTCAAAGTTATATGGCAAGTGTGTTAAATTAAAATCAATGTCAGTTAAAGCTTTGACTTTGCAGTTCACATGCTGTGGGGGTCTATGACAGTTTACACAGAGCTCTTCACTGGTGCTGTTGGTTACTGTTATCTGAGATCCATCACAGGTCCCATCGTGATCCAGGTTGGAATTATTTTCTGTATAACCGGGGCTGGTAGTGTCCCCTTCTGTTGCTTGTATCTAAGTGTCATATCCCCCAAATGGATCCAAGTTTTTTTTTAGGCACATGACGAGTGTGAACTGTGAAGTGCTCTTTATTTGGGTCTTTTAATGTTTTTGATCGGGTTTTATTATCCTCAGATTTCTCTGCAGATGTCTTCTGTGTGGCGTCTTCTCCTCAGTGGAAAGAGTTTCTGTAGGTGGCACACTTTCTCATTCAAACTGCCAAATGTTCTCCTGTTTATGCTAGACAAATCAGACAAATCACCCTGCCTGTGTGGTGGAGAATGTTTTCTCTTATAAAGAGCTGCGTAACAGGTACTGTCTACAACAGTGACTGCAAAAGCTTTTATGAACTATAATTAGAACAGTTAAATACATATTCAGTCAGTCGATTGTAGAAAACCAGACATTTATTTACACTTTTTAAATATTGTGGGTTATTACTTTAAATTATGTGTTGCTTGTTTAGACGTAATAAGTTAGTGTAATATTGTACAAATAACAGCAGGTAAGATGAATATGACCACACAGTAACAGTAGTGATACATGTGTGTAAAATGTAAGAGGACTGTTAATTCTCTGAATGTGTAGAAACACTCCTCCAACTCTTTCTTTCTTTCTACTCGTTCTTACTTTCTGTCTTTACTTCTACCTTTGACCCAGATAACTGTTTTTGACTCTGTGGGAGTGGAAATCAATTTCATCCCGTCACAGTTAAGACTGTGCATTATTGGAAGTGTAGTTAACTGATAGCAGTGCAGGGATTCTGCATCACAATGGCACAACTGAGCATGCTCCATGGTGTGTGTGTGTGTGTGTGTGTGTGTGTGTGTGTGTGTGTGTGTGTGTGTGTGTGTGGTGATCAGCTGGGCTGCAGACGCGAGAGCAGGGTCAGCTGTACATTCCTGGGCAGGGCATCGGCAGCAAAGGGCCCTTGAATACAAAGTCTGCCTGTGTGTGTGTGTGTGTGTGTGAGAGAGATGGTGTGTGTGTGTGTGTGTGTGTGTGTGTATGTGTGTGTGTGTGTGTGTGTGTGAGCAAGTGAGAGAGAGAGCTGATGCTACACAGTAGGCAATGATTAACTCTGCTGAACAAAGTTTGATCAAACTACTGAGATAATGGATGTATATGTCTATCCCCCTTCACACTACACTACACTACACACACACACATATTATGTACACACATGCACATGTTACTGAGTTGTCAGCATGACATGGATGGATGGATGGAGAGGTCAGAACCGGCCAGTTGTTGCCAGCGTGTCACCCCAGCCTTACAAATTCAGTGAAAAGAGCAGTTAACCGCGCAGCTGTTCCCCGGTCAGATCGACACTTACATTATAGTTTGATGAAATGAGGGGAGAAAATATAAATGTTCTTCTTCTTCTTGCCATCTTATCAGCATCTGGAACATTTTCAGCAGTTGTGAACTTTCTAAACTGATTGACACATTGGTGCAGGTGAATTGCATGTTTCAGCTCATCATGCTTTACAGCACTGCTAACTAGGGTAGAAGAATCTTGCCATACCATGTATCACGATACAGGGGTTATGACTCAATTTACTGCGATGTATTCCAATACTGTAAGCGGTGTGATATATATTGCATATGCATACATCAACATCATAGCCTTAAGTTTACATTTACAACACTGCTATCTTATGGTTGGTGGTTGAAGCCC